TCTCATTTGTGCGACCAACTCGATTATTCTTATTTTCCTTTGTGTCTCGTGAGCTAAGTGGCTTGATTTTATTATGTGTACTTGGCACTAACCTAGCAATCTTTGGAGCTTCAGGGGTGCTTTTTGAGAGTTAAACCACCATTCAATATAACATTATAAGTCAGTAAATCCGCGCGATCTAGTCAATAACGCGAGCGTGCATATCGACAACTTAAGAGCCCAGCGCAAAAGGTGCATAGCATAAACCAAGACGCTTAAAGATTTTTTGCCCTGTTAGTCGTCATCAGTCATCACGCCTGTTTATGTTACACCTTAAAGCAAATCCCTTGCAAAAATCATCTACAAAACCGGGCTAAAGGTGTCGTAGAGATGGTGGGTGGTCCTTCCTCCGTTATTTCACAAGACAATACATGATTTCCCCTATGTACTCAAGATCTTAGTAGATCCTCAACAAATTTCGTTGATTTTTCACACATGTATTCACTGTTTCTCAGACCTGACTTTAGAAATATGTAGCACACCACTTCAGACCTGACTCAGTCAAATATTTTCACTCTCCTAATCACAAATAATCTCAGACCAAAGGAGCAAATCTAAAACCGTATTTTAGATTAAGGAACCACACCCTCTGGTCTACTGCAAACAGTTATTTGTTAGTTTAGGAGTTTTGACATTTACTGGTCAAAGTGAAAACATCGTGCTTAAAAGTGAAGAAGAACAGAGGCTCAAATCATCTTCTTGGCGCCTGAGTTCACCTTTGGTCATTTAATTAGCACGTTCTACAAGGAGATAATTCAGTTATCCAATTAACGACGAAAGATTAATCAGTCACGAAAAAGGATCAAACAAAGAAAGAAGTCAGTCTTTACGACCCTGAAGGCCCTATTAAGAGAATAAAGACCTCGTGTAAAGTTCACTCTCGGCCAACTGATTCTATTAGCACGTTCTAAATGGAGATTAGTTGGTTATGCGGATAAGGATGGAGGCATTTCAACAGTCACGAAACTCAACTCGATACTATACAGATTGAAAGAAAAAAGAAAAGACAGTCTCGAAGGGGAATGACTCTAAAGGACTAATAAAAGGAAAAGGTGGTTTCAGGTACCCGAGACAACCTTCCTCTCGAATGCATCTCTATTAGCGTTTACATAGGAAGAACGTGGTCAATATCAGGGTTGACCCTTGGTGATTATTTACAACCCCTATTAGATATTTTACCTGTTTCTTTGAGTTTCCTCCGCTCATTCAATCACGGTGGGCTTTACCCAGACCATTTTTTTTCTTTTAATTCATTAGTTAAAACCTAAAATTTGGGCATTATAATGGCACTCAGAAAGTGGTCCCGCCCGCCAGAACAACCCTATCTCCCTAGATGAGTTGTCTCGGCTTCCAAGACACTGACAGTTCACAAGGAAAGTCATATAAAGGGTTCGCTGACTTCTTAAACGAAACAGTGAAAAGCCAACTCACTCATTGTACCTCGGGGTAGGGTTGTCTAGGGTACATAGATTGGGCCTCAATGATAACAGAAGGGAAAAAAGCATTCTTGTTCATAAAGGCAAGTTTATATCATAGAGATTAGATCGTCATCTTAAGAAAAAATCATCCCTAATACGTTGTTTGTGTAGAAAATAATCGACCCGACTTTAATTTGTCAGGTCTCTTTTCTTTGAGGTCTCTCTCTAATCAATAAGGCCCTAAGTTCTAGATCCTTCCTTCTTGAAGCGAATTCCACCAAGCATACATAAGAATTACATGAAACACATTATGTATTTCCGTTACACACGTGGAAAAAAAACCCAACTATCTTTCGTACATATGTAGCCTGTTTTGTTTCATTCAACCTGGTTGGTTGTCGTGAACCATGACAATGAGCCTTTGTATGTAGTAGACAAGGCAGGGGAGAAAAGTAAAGTTCACCTCCACAGGCCAAATCCATAAGTCGAGACTAAACACCTCAACTTGTCAATCTGCAATGTTACGTAATTTAACTAATTACAATGCTCGTAAGTAGTAATTATTATACGTGCAAATCACCCATTTAACCAAAACCATCCTCTAGCAATGGGCCTCTAAAGCGAACATACGGAGGCAAATGTTCTACTGCTTGTTCAGTTAGGATTTGATTCAACGGCGCACCGTTAACACAAGTTTAAGATGGTAGATGATGAAAGGTAAAGTTGAGAGTTTCAGTCAATAATCTTCCGCTCTAGTTGTCACTCTCCCACGCCGATAAGGGCGGAGCTCCGTCAAGAATTGTTCATCCAAGGCCAATGTCATCGTAATCTTGTGAACTGTGCATGCATCCCTTTAAGCTGAAACGGTAGTGGTTAATGTAAAAGAATAATATTGATCGTGACGGTGCACAAGGGGCTAAAAATAAGAATGCAAATTCTTTGCTAGACCCATTGACTATTTTCTAGAAACCTCTGAACTACATGGTTTAAAATTCTTTGCTCTCAACTGGAGCTACAACGAGCGCGTGCAACATGCGGAATCTGCAATCCATCAGATTTAGAACACTTTAGATACGATCTAATAAACTGCAACAGCAAATAAACATACGCAGCAATCCTTGGCTGCCAAAAGAGAAATTTGAACTCCAAGAAGAAGGGTGCTGATATTATTTAAATATTGGACAATATTGCAATTTAATCAAGTAGACTTCTCACAACGGGACTTCTTTTATATTATGGCTACTGTCGCATTTATGCCATTCAGGTAACGAAAAAAAACGCAACCTTTGTATCGTCACTGAAACAACAATGTGGGCATCTGGCTAGATGGACTATGAACGAACTAAACATCCAGTTTTTTTCTTATTACTCTGACATTTTTTCCCACAACATCTAGCGAGTTAGCAAATTCCGCAAGAAGTTCCAACCATGTTACTTTTACCTCCTGCTTAAGTAAGGAATGCAAGGTTAATTGAAAACTGCAGCCTGCTCTAGGTCAAGAAGATCTAAGAAACTTTCTGGATAGGCTGTTTCTGAGATAAGCTCGTCTCCTTCACGAACACTGATGAGACTCTCATACCTGGCCTCAAGTGACCAGCTTCTAGTTGCCAATTCTCAGTTTCCAATAACAGAGACATGACGTGAAAGCTTTACTGTTTGTTTCAAATAATTATCGAACGGATGCAGTCAAGTGCCTAAAGTTGTATTATCAAAATTAATAACGGGACAAAAGAAAGCGCCGGTTTCCTGTTTGGCTGACTAAAAAAACTAAAGGAACAATATAGTTTTTCAAAGAAAAAAACGGAAAACCCTGGAGGACACATTTTAATTGTTTTTGAATGCTAATATCAAGGCCAAGGCCAAATTTATCAGAACTCGACTGTCTGACGTAGCTTACCCTCTTTGTCGGTCGACAAGTCAGTAAATAAATCGCCTGAACTAGCATGACGTGAACAATCCAGAATCAAATTAAATCAAAATGTCATTACTTTGTTTTCTCTCGCATGCATTTTTTTACGATAAAGATAAATTGGTAGACTGAGGTTTTTAAGAATTGCCCAAAGTACTGTGAATAGACCCAACTGAGCCTTTTATGGAATCTGCAGAGATCGAAATCAATGTAATCTTCTGGTCCCAATCTGCTATCAGAGATGCTAGTGAGTCATTACTCAGTCAAAGTTCAGGACTGCCAAAATGCTCCTCATGCTTCTTTCACTTTGTAGAAGGCGGAAAACGCATCTAAGATGACTTCCTTTGGACCTGAAGTTTCACTAGATGATTCGTCTTTCAGGAATGCTAAAAATGGCCCACCTACCCAAATGCCATGGTTCCATATCGCCCATGGCGAACTGCAGTGATTGAATTAACTCCAGCGGGTTTTATCGAATTCTAATATTTTTTCCTCGTCTTTCTGGCTCTCTTGGAAGAATAGCTTATAATTCCTACTGCTGTTTATCCAATTATTTCACAATAATTGAAAGTTGCCCTTGACCGTCACGGTAGATTCATGGCGAAATAACAAACAACTTCTAAGGTTGCACACACGTGGTCTTGCCGCAAAGCTCTAAACTCATCACAATCCCCCTCTTCTAAATATGAGATAATGTTTATCTGCTTTATTTGATGGGTAACATTAGAAGCAATGGACGAAGACTTCAAACTACCTTTTTTCTAGTCGAATACATCGCTATATGTTGGAATCAGTATAAACTACATTGCGTTTGAGCAAACGGCTCTAGTGTAGAAAGGGCTGCGCCGACAAATTCCGAGAACCACTGAACTCAACTTTCGTTCAGATGAAGAAGTCTAGAGAAACTCGAGCGCAATAAATTGAAAAGTTTTGGCTCAATGCAACAGCATCAAAACGATAGCACAAATATTCGTTTCTTCCAAAGAAATAAAGTATGTATGTATTCAATCTTTGACATTGCTAAAAATGTGTTCAAAATCAAGAGCTTTAGCAGCCTAAGTGCAGACACGTATGCAAAAATGAAAAATTCGAAGAAACTTCTGCTGTCACCTATAAACGGAATTAAATTAGTCGTTGGATGATTATTCCCTCAATTCAGTTGTGCGCATTTTATGTCTATGCTGAAAACTTAATCAACTTACATATGCATTTTCATTGCAAGTCTTTAATTAAGCACTAGATAGGATACAATTTATTTGTTTATCTAAAAAATTCTTTTCTGACTCAAGTCTCATGACGCAAATGTTGTATGTGCTTAGTCATGTATTGATGTTATGTCGAGAAACTGAATACTCTTCTTAATACAAAGGGCTTAAACCATCAGGCGTGAAAGAAAAACAGCGCCCCATAAAGTGATATGCTAAAGAATCAATTCTTCAAATCTGCCCCGACGTCCTTACACGCTGTGCTGGTTCTTGAAACACTAGCTTTTCTTAGGCTTTTTACTTAATTGGGTGTTGATTGGGCTACACACTGTATATTGCGAAAATCAAAATATATAGTCGACAGTGTCAAACACGTTACCACTTGCAAAATTGTCTGGGATTTTATGCCAAACGACCTGATCGCGGCATTTCAGTCTGGAGTTTGGAAAACGGAATGTTCGTGAGCGGTTAAGAAATATTATGATAAAGGTTACTAAACCAGGCGTAGAGCTATTAACTGAGATTGCTCCTCATTCCAGTTAGGTGGTTTAAAAGCTGGAGTTCGAGACCGGCATCATCACGAAAACATACCGTCTGCGACACAGCAGAGACCCCACACAACACGATCTCGCGTACACAACGATGCCCTTGCAAGTTTCATCTAGAATTTTCATATTACCTTACCTCGCATCCTGCAGATAAAAGTTCGGGAAAAATAGGTCATTCGATTTACGTGCATAAACCCACTTTCGACTGACGTGCAAGATTTCCAAGAGATAGTCAAGAACAGACCTGCAATGGCTTGCTATGAAAAAAAGTCACAGTCCAGCTTCATGCCCTCATTTGTTTTATTAAATATTTGAAGATTGTAACTGATTGTCATTGAATTCGATACCATTTGTGATAGATATATTATATCGTGCCTTTTTTCTTAGAAGCACACTTCAGTAGCAAACGTTACCACAAGTTTCACATCCCGTACAGTGGTCAGCTTAAAAAAGCACTTCTGCGTTTGGCAATAACGTTTCTTAGGTTGAAAGTTTTTTTCTTTTTTTTTTTTCTCGCCAAAGTTTCAATTTCGTTAAGGTTATCTTCGCTTAGCATATTATAAGCTGTGTCGTCCCAGTTAGTCAAGCACTTGTAAATCATCTCACGGCAACTAAATGAATGAAGACTTAGATCGTGCTTCTGTGATATTTAAAATGAAAGTCCGATGCAATGCAGCAATTCTTTCACGATAAAATTCAGCTTGAAAAAACTACGACAAGGTGCAGCACTGTGCTGTATAGATATAACGGGCAGCACTGATGGCGTGACATATACTGCTACGAACACCCCTGGGAAAATTAATTGATTCGCTTATACAAACAAAAATCACCTCGTGTTACATTACTGCACTAAGGGTGCAGATCGTTGAGTAAGAAATATGCAAGCAGACTATGAACTATAAAACGTGTCACTGAGAATAGAATAGTCATGGAAAATCTACTGAAACAAGGAAACATTCCTTGTACCTATCACTTATGTGTCACTGGATATAGAAGTTTCATATCAAACTTGGTCATGCATGCTTCATAGCTCAAACTAGGCCTCAAAACAATGACTCAGCAATCTCTATCTCAGTTTCTCAATCTTGTTAACGTTCTTTAAACAGAAGCGTACAATGTATGACAACATTTTAGCGCAGCAGTCGCTGACTGGTTAATCATCATTGCGAATGAACAACGTGAACAAAAATGCCAGTCCCTACTCTTACTTGTATCGGCGTTTGCCAGCCTGTGTCAGTGTTGATGCATTGCAAACTCCAAGTTCACCGCACAGCATCGACATGGATCGAATACGGCTTAGGTCGAACAGTCAGACCGAACTTGTCTTCAATCGGGTCCTCGGTTCCATTGCGAAGCTTGAGGTGCTGCACCAATGTGCCAATCACCAGGAATATGACCGATTTGGCAAAGCCCTCTCCGGGACATTTTCTGTCTCCTGCAGAAAACGCCAGAAAACACGGTGACCTTAAAACGTTCTGTCTGTTTTCATCCATGAAACGATATGGATTGAATTTGTAAGGCTCGTCAAAATACTGAGGATCTCGAGAACAAGCCCATAGGTTTACAAACACGATGGTTCCTTTGGGCAGTAGGTAACCAGCTACGCTGGTATCTCGGGTTGTGCAGTGGGGTAAGGCAAATGGCAGGAAGCTGCTCATTCGTAATACTTCAAGAACAGTGGCCTCCAACAGTGGAAGTTTGTTCCTGTCGTCGAGAGACAGCGGCGAATCTCCTTTCACACGTTCTATTTCTCTCCGCAGGTTGGCTTGCACATCCCGGTGCGACACAAGGTACGCCACGGCCCACCGAAGGGCGGTGGATAATTTTTCGTATCCCCCGCCGAAACAATCAGCTGTTATGTTAATCAAAGTTTCGTCGTCAAAGTGGTTTGAGTCTGCACTCGCTGGGTCTTCTTGAAATTGTTCGTTTCCGAAATTTAATGCCGCTTTATCTTTCACCGCCTTATCCAGTGCCTCGTTAAAAGTAATTACCCGCCTGGAAGATGAGTCGTCCAAGGTGTTCACCTCAGAATCATTCTTGATCATGAAGTAAACTTTCTTGACATAGTCTGTAAGTTCGGCAACAGATTTGTCAAGTTTTTGCACTTGTTTCTTGAATACCACCTTCATCCACGGCATAAAATCTACGCTATTTCCCACTGCACTGCTTTCAATGAAATCAGTTGAACCGTCCATCATTAACTGGGCCTTCTTGGCACAAGCGTGTCGCAGCTTGTCTCCGAAAAACAAACTAAACTGCAGACTGCAGACCATGAGTTTTAGCAGATGAGTGGGATCGAAATGGCTCTCTTCCGAATTTAGGAAGCTCTTGATTAACACGTGTGTCTCTCTGAGGACTATTTTTGAGAAGTGCTTGGCATTGTCAAGAATGGCTCGCATGGCCAGTTCCGTCGCTCGCTTGTTCTTGAAGTATTTTGGACCAAACACGGGCCACGCAACTGTTCTATCACCCCGGCTAGAAGAGATGAAACTGTGCAAAGGTGGTCGAGATGAGAAGTCGGATCCATTCCTAAGCAGGGCCTCTTTCACGGTGTCGATATCATTAAGAATGACGACTTCTCGACTTCCAAGCCTCATGGAAAACACTCTTCCGTATTGTTCGGCGAGCTTTGTGACGTTCTTGTGAGGAGCTGAACCGAAGAGAAATATATTCCCAATAACGGGAACACTCCATGGCCCAGGAGGCTTTCTCGTGTCTGACGGAGTGGCATTTCTTGAAAACAGCAAAAGAACCACGAGAGCAAGGGCAATGATCAAAACGGAATGTTCCGCAAAGGCGTCTACGACGTAAGCCCCATACATGTTGACAATTCAATATAGGCTCTTCAGAACTCTCTGAAAACGATCAGATTGTCCAAGGTCGTCTCCCACAACTCTTTATTTATACGGAATATTGACTGAGGTGTTGCACGCTCCAAGCAGTGCTTGAGAGGTTCTGGTTGTGGGCACGTAAGCCGTTTTATAGTTGCCTGTGAGCTGATTCAGTGGGAGGTGACGGACAAACAAACCTGATGCTTGTTCAGTCTTTGTTTTGCACGTTGGGTTCAAGGTTGACTCGCTTCAATGATTTTGACAAACAGAATCCGGACTATTATGTTTTTTCAGCACGGGTCAAAAAGCTGTCTGATCGGTCACATACGAGAAAACAGGAACAAGTATCGGAACACCGGATCAGATAAGGCACGTTACTGAACGTGCGACGGAAGACTTTCTTTCTCAAACGAGATCAAAGTCGTAATTCTCTGTACAATATTCAATAAACTGCCAAATACACAGGTGAAGATTAATAGAGAGAAAAAAGTGTTTCGTCAATGAAAATATGCTTTTAGTTTTTAATGAAATGCTGGGGTAATCAGTAGAAATTGATATCTCAAGTTTAAAACAGAATGGCTTATGACACAATCATCAAAGCCGATTTTTCGGTGTTTACATTACAATAGTCGATTTTAATAGAAAAGCGGGATTACCTGCTCCTTCAGCCGTTCTTAACCGAACAAGAAAAAGACTCAAGTCCTTATTTTATCCTTGAAATGTCCTTACAACGACGCATCTTCCGACAGCGAACTGTTCTCAAGGAAGAGAGCTCTTCCGTCTAAGCTGATGCCGGGTCAGACAATAGCGCTGTCATTTCGGTGTCGCCTAAATTCTTTAATCGTTCAGCAAGTAATTCCCTATTCCATAATGCGGTTAAAATATGCGGAATGAACTGATCTGATCGATTTATTTTAGCTCGGTCAACTTGTTAACATCTGACAGCTTAGGGTCTAGTTACAACGAGTCCGTAGAGTCCATTCCAATATTTCCAAAAATCGATTGAGTCATTTAGCGTCGCTGGGAAATGATTGATAGACAATCAAAGTACCATGAACCAAAAGGAGTGGCGTATCGCTACTACGATTATGTTGCGGTTTTAAACCATTAAATGCATGTAACTGTTTGTGTACGCTCTGTCGGGTTGTTTAAATCGAGTTCGCGCGAACAGGCCATTTACCTCTACACCCTTGCGTGCCTACTTTGCTCAGAGTATCACAATGACCTTTTCACAGCGTTCAGGAATTATGGATGCGGATCTTTACCGGTATTGAATTTTACCTCATTTGTCGATAACACGTTCTAAATGGCATTATTGGCTTAGGGATGTGAATCAATTTTACGATTACAAGCTAAGCTATAGAAAGCGTCCCTGCCGCGTGCGCACTCTTTCATTAAAAGACACAAGTGTTTGCGCGTAAAAAGGTATTGAAAGTTCCGTACCAGTGTTTGAATAGGCGTTCAGCCGAAGCCAATCGTAGCGACCGAGACGTAATAAACACTGATTAAATCTCATCGTTGCCGTACACAGCATTCAAAACACGAAAAACATTCGCACCATCCTTTTTCGTTACATAAGAAATTGCTCCCAATGTAACATGTCTAACATATACAACATTGAGCTTTCGCTTAATGTGGGCAGATGCTACAGCACCGGGCAACAATCTTGCAGAGCAGTAATTCCAGCCTAAGGCCAGAGAAACAATTGTGACTACCTTCATTTGTCTACAAACATCTTCCTCTCGACGGCCTAAATTAGTGTTTTTGTTGACCTAATCTTAAACGAAAGCAAACGACATCATGCAGGTGGAATCGAGCATCTAGAAATAACAAAAGATTGACAAGTTGAACAAGTACGTCAGTATAGAATAAATTCGTCTCATAATAGGAAAAACTCACGGAAACCCGTCGACCCCCAGTAAGAAACTTCAAACGCGCCGCCGGGTCAAGGACCAGTTAAACACTTTATACGAGTTACACGATAGATACAATTCTGGATGCATGACTAAAGTTTCAATTGTCAAAACTGCTCCATTGGAAAGCACGTGCACGTTAATCGGCCACAGCACTATTTCGTACTATGAGTATGAAGCAGTCATATCCATTGGCAATCTTTGCATAAGAAACCATTGTGGCGCAGAAAGCTGTAGTGGATTTGTTTTTACTGACAAGATCGTACGTAGTACGTAAGAAATATTGGTCTCACTCTTTTTTTCTCAGGTTTATGGACGATGCCGAAGTCGTGTTCCATCGTAGACGAGGCCAATATTCCTAAATACGAACCGAAGAAGCTAATATATTAAATAAAGTTTGTTTGATAATGGCTCTTTTTAACTACGCCAATAAATAAACACAGCTCTATTCTGGGCAAAGGTGAGTGACAAATTAAGTTAGGTGCGTCAGATGTATTTTTGGGGTGCTCAGGGAACCAATCAGAATGCTTATTTTTATTCATACGTTGTCACTGCATCGGGCCAAGTGGTCCATACGGTCGAAGCTAATACCGGTTTCTCTGGCATGAAGCGACTAGGCACAGCTCTACTCCCCCCTGGATGGGATGCTAGTCCATCGCAGGGTTACGCCCAGCATTAAATTCCCCAGCACCCATTTATACACCTGGGTGGAGAGAGGAACTGTGAGAATGAAATGTCTCCGGCCAGGGTTCGAACACGGACAGCTCGATTCAGAGTCCAGCGTGCTAACTATTAGGCCTCACCCTTCTGTTCATCATAGACCGGTATTAGAGCTCTATTAGACCTGCGGTATTAAAACTGCAGGTTCGGTCCCCACTGACAACGCACGTGCGCACTTGTCGGTGTGAGCACGTTACATCAGATCTCCTTGACGAAAACAGAATTCAATTTGTTTGGGCTAATTGCGTCTCGATTATTATACATTGGCTAACAGTTACTGGGTAGGTAGTATTGTTACTCAAGCGTGCACATGGCCCAGGAAAGAATACTAAACTATATTGGTTTAGTCACGGTGTACTTCCTGCATGGGCTCCGGATCAAGCATTCCTGGCACGGACCGAGCTTTGGTCATGTGTTATGTTCATAGGCAAGACACTCTCTCCATCCAGACATTTTGATTGCTGGAAATAATCCTAAATTCCTCTCCGAGCACTAACCCTGAGGAAGGAAAAGGAATCCACCTCGACACAACGCAAAGAAAAATTAACCTTTTGACCAGGGTGGCGAAGGGTGGGATTCCAGCACCCGTCTGGCGACGAACCTCCGCAGTCAAAAGAACAACAGTGATGTAACCCTGGGGTCAAAAGATTTTTTTAATTTCACTTGCATGTAATCCATTTTAGTGACAGAAAGCGATAGCTTTTGATTGGCAATAGTGTCGCACAGTCTTCGTTTATTTCCACCAGGATTTGTCTCTTGTACTCTGCCTCCATCCGTACTGCAGATGTTTACGCGCCCATTTACTGTTTCAATAGAGGATAAGCACTCTGAAATAGGGCTGATAGCTATAGTGCTCAGTCTATAATGAAAGCTGAGACAGGACTTTGACTTTATATATCAATTCTTTAAATGTCCTCCTCAAAATTAAACGTCCGATCCATGCTGATCTGTGTAAACAAATTGATCTACACGGTGGCTTTCGCGGTAAATGGGATCTGGTAGTATCTTTCCCTAGAAAAGGTTGAAATTCTGGATAAGCCGTAACACCATGTAGTGCACTCTCAAAGATTTACAAACACAATTTGAAACCAGTATCTCTATGTAGCCTTCTTTCAGCCATATTACGACAGAGTACCGTGTGCACACACACAAAAACAGAAAGCGGAATACCCCCCACCCCTTCTCTCTCTCCCAGGACCATAGTAAATAGGGATTTGACGTCATAACATGAACGAAAGAAACATTCACATGATAACTGATTCGATGTCCAGTTTGAGAAATTATCTCTAATACGTTTTAGGTTCGATCTTTATCTCAAGAAAGGTTGAAAATAATACGAGAATTACTAAGGTCAAGACCAGCAGCTAAATGGAGAGGACGACTCAAGCTTGACGAACACATGACGTGAGCATGACGCATGTTTGACAGATGTATGACGTCATGACGGATGCATGACGCATGCATTTGCAGATGTCGAGCATTTTTTCTCAGCTAAAGAATATGGAGATACTTTTATATACTTTGCAACAATTTGCGATAACGTCGGGTTATTTTCATTACCATACATTGTATTCTCTATTGATCTCTTTTCTGGGAGGCTAAATGTATAGATAAAGTACCCTTTGGAGATTTCAAGTGCATTTCAATGGTTACTATAGGAATACCACGCCGCACCGGTGTCAAATATCTTATTTGCGAGCAAAAGATTGAGTATGAAATAATGACTTCGGTCTTTTTGCAACAAAATTAGATTGAATACAAAAAAAAAGCATAGAAGTTGTGGAGGATGCATTTAAAGAATATTTGAAGGAGAAAATGAGAGAAAAAAATGAGAGAAAGAAACGATCAATAATCAAGAATAAAAGAATCAAGTCTTCCTCAAGTCGGTGTGCTCCATAAATTGATTTTCTCACAGCTCAACATTTCAAGTTTGATCAAGACTTCCTTTGAAAAATGCAATAAAATACGTAATTTGGTGTTTTGTGATATAGAATGAACAAGGTCTTGATAAGAGTTATCAGGTGATAACACTTACCTTGTTAATCATAAAAATTACAATTTCCTCGATCGTGATTGGTTTAAAAAATCTCTTATTTTCCACTAATTCACTTGCCAAGTTGTTATCGGACAGCTTGTTATTGGACAGTTTGTTATCGGACAGTTCAGTAAGCCAATCACATTCAAAGTTGTAGTTTAAATCAACCAATCACAACCTTGGTTTCAACTTACGCCTCTTTTGTCAGTCTTTTAATGCAAATTTCCCCTCTCTCTCATAATTTGGTATTCTTCTTTTCTCAGAAATTGTAATTTTTTTTATGATTAATTGGTGATAAGACTGAGTGGAGTCCAATTCGGTCTGTGATCATACTCGTGATAAACAAGTCGAACTTCCGCCGCGCGGTCGTCCGATTTTGTTATCACTCGCATGATTACAGACCGAATTGGACTCCACTCAGTCCTATTACCATTACTTATACTGGGTTCCATAAAACGCATTATATATACACAGCTTCCCGCCTCAGTAGTCCTATTACCCGTTAATTGGACTGTGCGTGAAACTATGTGCAGTGTTATGTTTAACAATTAGATTATGAGCTCGAAATTTGTATAAAAATCTACTAGTCGTTAAAAAGCTGTAACTAAATCCTCTTCATAGACGCAAAGAAGCAGCCGCCATTTTGAAAACAACCTCAAACTGCTAGGCTGATCAACATCTACAGCAGAATAGATAGTGTTTAGCGTAGCCAATAAGAGGAAGGCATTCGTGACAGGACGCTAGAAGATTTATACTAAAACTGGACAGTGAATTAAAGGTATTTTAAGCTAGTGATATATATTTAAACTGGGAACAAGAGATACGATGCTCCGAAAAATCTCATTCATTCACGATTAATCCCATTGATGCAACTATCCAACTATTTCCCAAATTAGAAGAAACACGGCACCATGCACGCATGATACCGGTTTCGCCCCATGGCGAGTTCGCCCCGACCGAGTTCGCCCCCACTATAAAATTTCTATTTCGAGTTCGCCCCAAAATTTTGTGTTCGTATTTGTGTTCGTATTTACGTAGTTGTTCGAAGAACCATTTCAGTCCGTGTATACTTGATAAGCTTAGATGATGATTGTTTACTTGTTGCAGCCGGGGTACGCATAGCAACAAAGTCAAACGGTTACCGGTCACCTCGCCACCACTAGGGAGTCTCACCACTAACGAGTCGTTGAGTCGATGTGTGGGCGAACTCGGTGGGGGAGAACTTGCCATGGGGCGAAACCGGCAGCTACCCCGTGGCCAATAAAATTTGTAACATGTGTTGGAACTAAAAGTATATCCTTATCCAAGAGAGAAATAATTGGATGTAAGAAAAAAAAAAAAAAGTACTCTGACCGCTAAATTGGGCTTGGCCTTGGCCTTGGCCGTGGTAGTCACCACGGAGTTTTCTCATCCAATTATATTTCTAAATCAATCACAGCTTGTTGTGTTATCGTCTGGTTTAATTAAGGGATGAAGCGCGGGCACAATAACATATCTTCGGAGAATTAACTAGCACCCTGCAGTTCATATTATGATCAGCGTAGCGCAATGAAGAGACGACATTTTGCTAAGCGACACCCGTGACAAAAGACCGGAGACAGACTACGACCAAGACCAAGAACGAAAATTTATTCCATGGACTAAAGTTGGACAACAGGGTTACAAATAAGATATATATCGACCGGACAGATATCCAAATCGACTGACCGAGAAGTGAGGTTGAACTAAAAATGAGACATGGCCATGCCATCCTTTTTCTAACATCACGAAAAAAAGAGCCTGAAGAATTCAAGTTATGAAAATTTGATATAGACTGCTTGGACCTGTGTGACTGGTCATGGTTAGCAGACCTCGCTTAACTTAGTTTGCTCAATTGTTATACTCCACCTCTTCTTTTTAACGCAAAATCAAGTGAAACTGCAGCATTCTTAAGCAGTTATTTGGTGTAAGAGAGAAAGCCAAAGTAAGTCGTCTCCTCTCTACGCGCGTGTTTCGCGCATAACACGTGGGCGACTTAGGCGTTCCTCACGCACTTTCTGAATCTCGTGATCTCCATGACTGCCGCATGGTCTAGCTACAGGTCAGATCACTCATTAGCTGGAAACCAGGAGAAAAGTTTACAAACCGAATGAAGCACCAACCCTCAGCTTGTTACATCTGCTACTTTGTCCTGAAAACTTTCCAGGCCTTTCTCAGCCACGATACGTGAGATCTTCCTTGTATTAGAGCGAAACTTGTCCCGAATGAGAAGTTGCTTTTGAACTGATGAATCTTCGGCGCTAAGAAACGAAAATTTAAAACAATACATTAGGTGCAAATTTGGCACTGGTCAACACTACGTTTTCGTGGGGAAAGACTACTGAAAGATGGAGACCACACAAGCTTAAACTGTCTGAACTTGTACCAGGTTTGTCGCATCTGATTGGCTGAGGAGAATATTAGCCTCTCTCTGATACGTTAAGGGTTGCGGCACAAGTTCCTCGATCAGCTATTGGCGCGGCTCAGAGTTCAGAGTCAAGCGCACGAGGTTTGATTCTCTCTGACCGCTCGCTCTAAACCACGCGCGATAATAGCTTTGCAGCTATCCTCTCGCGCCACGCTCCTATATTTAATAGACTCGCGCGTTTTGCAATTGCAATTATTCGCCAGTTGCCTTAGTGGATAGGAATTTAACAATGTATCCCTTCGCTCTTGAAATCAAAACGATCACCCTACAAGGAAGGCTACCTAAAATTAATAGCGAAGCTGCAATAGGTTCCTTGTACAACCGCCTTCTTCAGTTCTCGAAAAATGAAAATCAATTCAACGACAGATTACCTTTCCAGAAGTTCAACGCAAGCTGTGTGTCCATAAATCTGAGCTACTCTCTTTGGCGTATCCCCAGAGTTATCTGCGATAATAACAGGGGCCTGGTGATCAACCAAAACTTTGAGCACATTCAAGCGCCCAGTCTCCGCCGCGCAGTGAGCTGGTGTCCAGCCTCCCACCATGCGCGCGGTAGGATCAGCGCCGTATTCCAAGAGAAGCTTCACACACTTCCCATGACCTGAATGGATTAAATATACAGAAGTCAAATTTAAAAGTATTTTTCCCCTAAAATTTTCGTTTAACTTGTGCGTATTCAGTTTCGTTTCGAATACATTACTGACCGATTACAATAGTTTGGACCAGTTAAACCAACAAAGTAAATTTTTAACAACCATGAGAGCTTGGAAGATGTCACCCATACAAAGTTACCATGCATGTGAGAAAACATTTGAAAGATAAGATACACAGATACACAGCAGTTTAAAACATCGTTAAGTTCCGAAAGCCATCACCGGAAAGTAGCAGCTTAAAATCGTCGATTAAAAAAGTGATTTTTTTTTTTACCTGCGAATCTCGCGGTACCCTAAAGTCATTTACTTTGTTTATCACTGTCAAAGCTATCACGAAACTGAATCTAGGACACATCGATAAATTCGAAATAAAATTTAAAAAATTAGCCGTCGTGGTTTCACGTTGTTGTTTTGCAGAGGACGGCAAAGAAATGTACCAAGAATTATAACGCACATGCACAGCCATTGTTCTCCTCATTAAACCTTTTGTTTAGCGACGTTGTCGTTGCCGTTGCCGTCGTGGTTTTCTTGAACTCCTTATTTTCGACGGTACAACATGTCAATAACAAAGCCATGCGAACAAAACCGACGGGTGATCGGAGAACTTCGGAGAATAACGAAGAGTGAGATTTGCGCAACCGGTTTCCGATTGCATCAGACTCCTTTCAGGATTTACTCGTCAGGGCCGGGTTGTTCAAAGCCCGATTAAGCTAACCCAGGATTACCGAGAATTTTGATTTGAGTTTTGTAACTTTTCGGTGAGGTTTTATGTTTATACTGTATGTGCTTCAGTTTTGAGTTTGGCTAAGCTCAAACTACACAAAATGTAAGCAGTAAAAAATTTATGCAAGAAAAATAAATACTTCGGTTAACTTTTAATCATGGGTTAGCGTTAACCGGCTTTCGAATAACCCGGCCCAGATCGTTTATGCCTGTGTTTGAACATTCTTCGGATTGACGAAGTTTTGCACGTGAAATTCGGTAATTTAGGCCGGTTTAAAACCACCGGAATAATATAACGGGTCAGACGCGTAACTTGATTCACTTAGGCTTTGCAGTAGAGCGGCAAAAAGACGATTAATCAAAGATTTCAATTACTCTGAAAAACCGGCCGGGAATACCCAAAACATGTTGCAAGCATTTAGCCACACACTACAAAATCAACCCCCGAAACGTTATACCTCAGTGACAACCCTGGCATTGACGTATGTCCAAGTTCTTGGTAGAGCAAAATATTCATTGTGTTGAAGAATTTTCCGGGTTCAATTTCGTTTACCTCTGTGCGCTGCCCAATGTATCGCTGCCCTGTCTCCCCACTCTTCATCTCTTGAATTAACATCAATCTTTCCTCCTCTGATGAAACTTCCCAGCTCTTCGAGCTTTGTGTCATCTCCTAGCGCGCAAGTCTCGTGGAGAAGCAGGTCATGGCTGCTACTAAACATCGATTTAGCGGGCGGCTTATCTTGATTTGTCATGTCCACCGAAACGAACAAGACTCTGACGAAGGAGCTATAATTTGTTCATCTACACAATTTCAGTTTGTTTTCTAGTGTCACCGGTACTCGCGAGTAAACAAGTTAAATTTACATCTATTTGGCCAACATGTCTCGGGTGCAGGTAGTTTTGTTTGATTTTTGAGAGCTGGTATTGTTTAACGAGAGTGGAGCTATAGCTCATTGTGGCGAACACCTCTCAAGGGACAATATACATAATAACTTGTATTGGTTAAGTAGTTTTCGCTTGAATTCTTTTCTTATATACGTACAATCCTAAAACGTAACCATTAGAGCAAGACAAAGATTTTAACGCCATGATTTAAGAAATTCACACAACCCACTGCTTTAAAACGTCAAACCGTCTGTCAACCTCATCGATAATAATCGAATTGTAAAGTCTTCGAATGTTTTTTCTGTCTTCCTCGAGCTAATCTGAGACTCCGCAAGAAGGCAAAGCGTGGACTAGTATGTGATATCGAGCGAAACGGTTAACGCTACTTGGAGCAGCTTTCAGTCTTTCATCATAATATCGCTGATGCGAAGTAATCTTGACTTTTATTATATCTCTCAGTTATTACGCGCGCTGTGATTGGTCAATTTAGCGAGCCGTACTCTACTGTACGGCCCGCTAAAATTTAAAGCTGTGTTTGTTGCCATAATGTTTCGTGATTTATCACCAAGTGTTCTCAACTTTTATAGCAAGTAAAAGTTTAAAATTTTCTTTTACTTAAAATTGTTTTTCTAAACCGTGCTAACAACTTAAAAACGATTTCAAATTGACTCGTTTTGTTTTCGACGTTCTTCAGAAATTTGAAGCTGTTTCGCGTGAATAGACTGATCGTTCCCGAACTCGTCAGACACACATCGGAGATATAATTAATACCTTACTAACCTCGTCTTCTCGGTTCGTACTGTAAGTTACGGATCATCGTTTTTTTCCCCGTCGATTTATGGCCCGCGCGCTTTGGCCATAAATCGAAGGGGAAAAAACTCGCGACCGGTCCGTAACTGTCTCCGTAACTTACAGTACGGACCTCGAACTCGGTTAGTAAGAGGTATATATATAGAGTGGAACGCCGTCTTATAGTCACCTCGTTATTACGGCCACTTGTTTGTCCGGCGAAACGCCGATAGAGTTACTTATAAGGCCACCTTTTTAATATATACGGCCAACGGCAACATTCTGAAATCCCAACATGTATAATCCTTCATCCTTTACAGCTGTATAGAAGTGGAATTGTGATATATCTTTTAAGATGTCACTGAATTTAGACCAGTCATGAAATTTGACCCTGCCCCATTAATACAGCCAAATTTTCATGGCACGTCGGTGACCGTATTAACGGGGTTCCACTACAGTAACAAATGGAGAGGGATGGACTGAGGGGATGGGAAGAGAAGCCTATACAGGCTAAGCAAATCATGAATATCTCGTCCCCAGGTGTGAAACGCGTGGGTCGAGCGCTGTTCTATTCAAATGCGTGAATTTGATGGAGCCTGGGAACAAAGCAGACACAATGGACTAAAAATCACTTAAATTACAAAGAATGACAAATTCTCCAACCTCTGGAAGCTGCCCAGTGCAGAGCGGTCCGATCGCCGAAGTCTTCGTCTTTGTGATCGATATCTATTCGGTGAATCATCAACATGCTCTCGAGCTGCTGATATTCGCCGTTAACAGCCGCTTCATGTAGGACCAACTCTGTCATCCCTCTAGTGCGCTGCTCATGCAATGAGCGGATTACCTGCAAACATATCAACTATAGCTAGAACCGGCGAGTCTTCTGATAATGATAAGCCTGACTTTTCATAAAAGAGGATGGTGATAAATGGCATTTAGCGCCAAGGAAATCTATTAATTTCTCGCGCGTAATATCAGCAAAGATCATTATAACTTAACTAAGGAGCCCACTCCCCGCCGTCCTGTCAAAATGGTAGTTGGCTAGCATCTCTGACGGACAGCCATCTTAAAGAGGCCTCGCTATCACGGAGATTTTGCTGCATTTTTGCTCATACCGGAAGAGGCGAGTCTGTGTCCAGAACGCGGCAGTGTTGTTGCATCGCTGCCAGCTATTAACAGACATGAAAGAAAAGTTACCCGTCAACAGCGATTGGATTTGTGTGCCCTGCTCTTGGACTAGGTATGACATACGCCAATTGAAATTGTTTCTTTTCGGAAAAACTCTCAAACTGAACACTTTCTGTACACGGAAAATCACTTTATATGCAGACTTTTCAACCAACGCTTTGGAAAACAGAGTACGTTTGTGCACTTTCTTCGAAAGTGCCGCTTTGCCTGCGATTGAAGTGTTCCTCTAATCTAGTTCACCATCTCTCTAGATATTAAAATCTCATTGACACTGAAGATGTCATTGACTTAGCCCACTTGGGGCCTCAAATGAATTCCCTTTGATGTAATTCATGTTCGCTTTTGCTTTAAACTTAGATTGTGCCGACTTTCCGGATGAAGCGACGGAGCGGGAATCAGTGCTAGGTGCGGAAAACGAGTGCGCAGTGTTTTGCAAAGTGAGAGATATCCTACGCAATCCTGGACTTAAGAACGCACATTATTTTGGCAAATCAAGATGAGTGCAAGGAGGCGGTATTGAAACAAACCTGTGACCAGAGAATAGCCTGCGAACAGGCTCTTCGCGTGGTAAGAAAGAAGGAGAGAAAAGGCGGACCGCTTTGAATTCTGAGTAGCGCGTCCAAATTTCGGACACAAAATACTGATTGGCTGAGTTTAATACGTTGGCATGGTGATTAGCTTGGGAACATCACCCGCATTGATTACTATTAAATTATGGCGATAATGCCATCTCTGCTACAAAGAAACGATATTCTCGCTATCTTACCCGCGGGATTCGAGAAAAGTCTAATTTTTCAACTCTTTGTTATTGTGGCTGAAATGGAAACCGCGTTAGTTGTCTTGCCTTTATAGAGGATGACCAAATTTCAGAGGACAGAAACATTGGATGGGTCTTTCAGCTGCATCAACTGGTGATTAGAAAAATCTAAGGCCGGCGTAACTTCAGCTAATACGGTATTTGATTCAGCCTAAAGAGTGTTCGAGTAACGATCGCTGAAAATCCAGTTTACGTTATTAAATTGTCCTTTCACTACCTGCGCACGGTTTACAGACTCTTTCTGGAGCTTTCTGACGTAAAGTGTTTTTTGGATTCCCTCGTTTTGACCGCCATCGAAACCCTTCTTGCCAGACGAAACACATTTTCTCTGGCTGTGGACACGATTTTCAGCGAGGCTTTACAACATTGCAATAGTCGTTCGAATTTTCTGGCCTAGGTTTTCTGCCTTTACATATTTTCTTTTGCATTAGCGAATGCCAGGCCTAGCCTGCTTTCCTCCACCGTAGCACCACAAGTGCTCCAAGCTCGCACTGAAATGAGCGTCCCTGTACTGTCCACAGACCCTCTGTTTTGTCCTGAGTCCGTCGAGATCGCAAGCTTAGCAAAATATTAACCCGGCGCGTGGGATATGAAGGAACCAAAACGCAAGGGGGAGTACGAAGGAGCATGAATAAAGATGAACCCCTTTGCTTCAGGTGTGTTTCCTTGTTTTCCGTGACGTTCACGTTCTGTACACAGATAAAAAGATAATGACTTATCCAGACATTTTCACCAGCTCCGCTTTCGAAAACGGAATTAAATTAAGTGCTCCGGATTCTAGTTCCTCATCTCTCATTTACACTGAAGGTCCTGAAGAATTGACTTCGCGCACTGTCGACCTTAAATGAATTTCTTTTGTGCATTTCTTGTTCGCTTTTGCTTTAACTGCAGATTATGCTGACTTTTCTAATGAAGCAAAGGAGCGGGAATCAACACGGTTAGCCTGGGTAGCTGGCGGTTTCGGTGGACTTTTTCGGTGGACTTTAATTCGTGGCGGGGAACAAAAGGCGAAGGCGATGCTGCGTGCTGAGAATGGTGAGAAGACAACGAGGGAGAAACCGCCTGCCCGCATCCACGGGTGTCTGCATTCGTTCGTCGCTCGTTTTGCGCCGCGAAACTCCATCGAAACCGCAAGTTACGCAGGCTAGGTGCGATAAACGAGTGCGCAGTGCCTTGTCAGGTTGGTGCTTTGTAAAGTGATATCTTTCCTACGCAATCCTTCCGCGTACCGTACTTCATGGATGCCTCCCCGATACCCGTTCAAACGAACGCGCGCAATCGTTTCTCGCACAGTTCCGTTCTGTCTCCACGCCTAAGATAATTCAAGCTTTGTATATAGATACTGCGTGTCACAATTGGTAACGTTCTTTGTGCGGGATAAAAGCTCTGGAGCAGCTCGACTTCGGAAAGGATGTAATTGAGCTCATCAAAAGCTCAAGGCAAAGAGACGGTACTGAAACATACCTTTGAGCCGGACCGCTTTGGTTATTTGATGCTTCTGAGCCAGGTTCTAAGGGACAAAAAGTATTTCAGCGCTATTTTCATTCGTAGCCGTCCATTTTTAAACCTTTGTTGATCCCGCCTGATGTTTCATCAAAGAGCCTGCTCACTCGACTAATTTGTGTCTCACGCATAAAATGAATCACTAGTAGTTTGCGTGACATTTTAAAATGTCAGAACAAAACCTAAACACCGCTCAAAAGAAGTGCGATCTCAGCAGAGCTCAAGGGGAATCATTCCCTTTTCGCTTGCGACAAAGGCATCAAAAATAACATTAAAGTGCAATTAAAATCTAAGTTATTTATGCAAAACTTAATCTGCGTTTTGTCGGGTATACAATAAGGCCTCATCAAGCAATCGAAGATTTAATTGAACTTTTCATCGGTCGGTGTTTCAAATGATTTCAATGACGCCTTCGCTAAATGTTAGATTGAAAAAATATTCTGAGAATGAGAAAGAATACAGATAAAAACAAAAATTAAAAATCGAATAAACTGCTCTCATTGAAACACGCACGGATAGTTTTGTCGCATACATTTAGTGATTTCATAACACTTGACCGCTCGATCACAGGAAATATCCGTCAGTAGTACTAAGTCAGTACAGAAAATGTAGAAGAACTCACCTTTCAGAACGTATTAGTCAACCAGTTATCCTGGAAAAGACTTGCCGATGAATAAGTCGAGACTCTTGTGTTCTAAACGGGAAGATCAGTTCAGTTATTCACTGAGAAGTCAGTTGGAGCACACATCATAACTCACGACCGGCGGTGCACAGGAATGTTTTGATCATTTGAGAAGCTGTTTCCAGTCCCTCACGTTTCCTGCGCGGTGTTATATCAGTGACTATCTCGATATAACGAAGGGCCCAAGTGGCTGGCACAATCAATCATAAAAAATATGTTCGCCATAACGAGGTCTTGTTGTTAATCGGGGTTGTTATTCATATATTTTAGATTTTTACTATTACTGGGGCGAAAACTATCACAGTAGAACCCCGGTAACTCGAACTCGAATAACTCGAATTTCCCCGCTAATTAACTCGAACCAGGTCCCATTTCCCTCGGATTTGACCCCACTTTTCAGTCATTTTAACTTGGTTAACTCGAACTCGGATAACTCGAATTCCCCGCTAACTCGAACTAAATTTCGTTTCCTTTGATAAAAATTTACCGCGATAACTCGAATTCTGGTTAATGTAATTACATACATACATACATAATTACATACATAATTTATTTGATAAAGCAGGTTGGAGATCAAAATTGGCAAGACGTTAAGTCCTGATGTGGACCTGCACTATCTAGGGATGTCATCCCATATGCATTAGCTTTTCTTGTCGTGTAATCGGTAAAAACACTCAAAACTAACACCACAGCAATTTGATTTTAATTAGTGCAACCGACCGTTAACATCTTTGANCGTTTACCTCTGTGCGCTGCCCAATGTATCGCTGCCCTGTCTCCCCACTCTTCATCTCTTGAATTAACATCAATCTTTCCTCCTCTGATGAAACTTCCCAGCTCTTCGAGCTTTGTGTCATCTCCTAGCGCGCAAGTCTCGTGGAGAAGCAGGTCATGGCTGCTACTAAACATCGATTTAGCGGGCGGCTTATCTTGATTTGTCATGTCCACCGAAACGAACAAGACTCTGACGAAGGAGCTATAATTTGTTCATCTACACAATTTCAGTTTGTTTTCTAGTGTCACCGGTACTCGCGAGTAAACAAGTTAAATTTACATCTATTTGGCCAACATGTCTCGGGTGCAGGTAGTTTTGTTTGATTTTTGAGAGCTGGTATTGTTTAACGAGAGTGGAGCTATAGCTCATTGTGGCGAACACCTCTCAAGGGACAATATACATAATAACTTGTATTGGTTAAGTAGTTTTCGCTTGAATTCTTTTCTTATATACGTACAATCCTAAAACGTAACCATTAGAGCAAGACAAAGATTTTAACGCCATGATTTAAGAAATTCACACAACCCACTGCTTTAAAACGTCAAACCGTCTGTCAACCTCATCGATAATAATCGAATTGTAAAGTCTTCGAATGTTTTTTCTGTCTTCCTCGAGCTAATCTGAGACTCCGCAAGAAGGCAAAGCGTGGACTAGTATGTGATATCGAGCGAAACGGTTAACGCTACTTGGAGCAGCTTTCAGTCTTTCATCATAATATCGCTGATGCGAAGTAATCTTGACTTTTATTATATCTCTCAGTTATTACGCGCGCTGTGATTGGTCAATTTAGCGAGCCGTACTCTACTGTACGGCCCGCTAAAATTTAAAGCTGTGTTTGTTGCCATAATGTTTCGTGATTTATCACCAAGTGTTCTCAACTTTTATAGCAAGTAAAAGTTTAAAATTTTCTTTTACTTAAAATTGTTTTTCTAAACCGTGCTAACAACTTAAAAACGATTTCAAATTGACTCGTTTTGTTTTCGACGTTCTTCAGAAATTTGAAGCTGTTACGCGTGAATAGACTGATCGTTCCCGAACTCGTCAGACACACATCGGAGATATAATTAATACCTTACTAACCTCGTCTTCTCGGTTCGTACTGTAAGTTACGGATCATCGTTTTTTTCCCCGTCGATTTATGGCCCGCGCGCTTTGGCCATAAATCGAAGGGGAAAAAACTCGCGACCGGTCCGTAACTGTCTCCGTAACTTACAGTACGGACCTCGAACTCGGTTAGTAAGAGGTATATATATAGAGTGGAACGCCGTCTTATAGTCACCTCGTTATTACGGCCACTTGTTTGTCCGGCGAAACGCCGATAGAGTTACTTATAAGGCCACCTTTTTAATATATACGGCCAACGGCAACATTCTGAAATCCCAACATGTATAATCCTTCATCCTTTACAGCTGTATAGAAGTGGAATTGTGATATATCTTTTAAGATGTCACTGAATTTAGACCAGTCATGAAATTTGACCCTGCCCCATTAATACAGCCAAATTTTCATGGCACGTCGGTGACCGTATTAACGGGGTTCCACTACAGTAACAAATGGAGAGGGATGGACTGAGGGGATGGGAAGAGAAGCCTATACAGGCTAAGCAAATCATGAATATCTCGTCCCCAGGTGTGAAACGCGTGGGTCGAGCGCTGTTCTATTCAAATGCGTGAATTTGATGGAGCCTGGGAACAAAGCAGACACAATGGACTAAAAATCACTTAAATTACAAAGAATGACAAATTCTCCAACCTCTGGAAGCTGCCCAGTGCAGAGCGGTCCGATCGCCGAAGTCTTCGTCTTTGTGATCGATATCTATTCGGTGAATCATCAACATGCTCTCGAGCTGCTGATATTCGCCGTTAACAGCCGCTTCATGTAGGACCAACTCTGTCATCCCTCTAGTGCGCTGCTCATGCAATGAGCGGATTACCTGCAAACATATCAACTATAGCTAGAACCGGCGAGTCTTCTGATAATGATAAGCCTGACTTTTCATAAAAGAGGATGGTGATAAATGGCATTTAGCGCCAAGGAAATCTATTAATTTCTCGCGCGTAATATCAGCAAAGATCATTATAACTTAACTAAGGAGCCCACTCCCCGCCGTCCTGTCAAAATGGTAGTTGGCTAGCATCTCTGACGGACAGCCATCTTAAAGAGGCCTCGCTATCACGGAGATTTTGCTGCATTTTTGCTCATACCGGAAGAGGCGAGTCTGTGTCCAGAACGCGGCAGTGTTGTTGCATCGCTGCCAGCTATTAACAGACATGAAAGAAAAGTTACCCGTCAACAGCGATTGGATTTGTGTGCCCTGCTCTTGGACTAGGTATGACATACGCCAATTGAAATTGTTTCTTTTCGGAAAAACTCTCAAACTGAACACTTTCTGTACACGGAAAATCACTTTATATGCAGACTTTTCAACCAACGCTTTGGAAAACAGAGTACGTTTGTGCACTTTCTTCGAAAGTGCCGCTTTGCCTGCGATTGAAGTGTTCCTCTAATCTAGTTCACCATCTCTCTAGATATTAAAATCTCATTGACACTGAAGATGTCATTGACTTAGCCCACTTGGGGCCTCAAATGAATTCCCTTTGATGTAATTCATGTTCGCTTTTGCTTTAAACTTAGATTGTGCCGACTTTCCGGATGAAGCGACGGAGCGGGAATCAGTGCTAGGTGCGGAAAACGAGTGCGCAGTGTTTTGCAAAGTGAGAGATATCCTACGCAATCCTGGACTTAAGAACGCACATTATTTTGGCAAATCAAGATGAGTGCAAGGAGGCGGTATTGAAACAAACCTGTGACCAGAGAATAGCCTGCGAACAGGCTCTTCGCGTGGTAAGAAAGAAGGAGAGAAAAGGCGGACCGCTTTGAATTCTGAGTAGCGCGTCCAAATTTCGGACACAAAATACTGATTGGCTGAGTTTAATACGTTGGCATGGTGATTAGCTTGGGAACATCACCCGCATTGATTACTATTAAATTATGGCGATAATGCCATCTCTGCTACAAAGAAACGATATTCTCGCTATCTTACCCGCGGGATTCGAGAAAAGTCTAATTTTTCAACTCTTTGTTATTGTGGCTGAAATGGAAACCGCGTTAGTTGTCTTGCCTTTATAGAGGATGACCAAATTTCAGAGGACAGAAACATTGGATGGGTCTTTCAGCTGCATCAACTGGTGATTAGAAAAATCTAAGGCCGGCGTAACTTCAGCTAATACGGTATTTGATTCAGCCTAAAGAGTGTTCGAGTAACGATCGCTGAAAATCCAGTTTACGTTATTAAATTGTCCTTTCACTACCTGCGCACGGTTTACAGACTCTTTCTGGAGCTTTCTGACGTAAAGTGTTTTTTGGATTCCCTCGTTTTGACCGCCATCGAAACCCTTCTTGCCAGACGAAACACATTTTCTCTGGCTGTGGACACGATTTTCAGCGAGGCTTTACAACATTGCAATAGTCGTTCGAATTTTCTGGCCTAGGTTTTCTGCCTTTACATATTTTCTTTTGCATTAGCGAATGCCAGGCCTAGCCTGCTTTCCTCCACCGTAGCACCACAAGTGCTCCAAGCTCGCACTGAAATGAGCGTCCCTGTACTGTCCACAGACCCTCTGTTTTGTCCTGAGTCCGTCGAGATCGCAAGCTTAGCAAAATATTAACCCGGCGCGTGGGATATGAAGGAACCAAAACGCAAGGGGGAGTACGAAGGAGCATGAATAAAGATGAACCCCTTTGCTTCAGGTGTGTTTCCTTGTTTTCCGTGACGTTCACGTTCTGTACACAGATAAAAAGATAATGACTTATCCAGACATTTTCACCAGCTCCGCTTTCGAAAACGGAATTAAATTAAGTGCTCCGGATTCTAGTTCCTCATCTCTCATTTACACTGAAGGTCCTGAAGAATTGACTTCGCGCACTGTCGACCTTAAATGAATTTCTTTTGTGCATTTCTTGTTCGCTTTTGCTTTAACTGCAGATTATGCTGACTTTTCTAATGAAGCAAAGGAGCGGGAATCAACACGGTTAGCCTGGGTAGCTGGCGGTTTCGGTGGACTTTTTCGGTGGACTTTAATTCGTGGCGGGGAACAAAAGGCGAAGGCGATGCTGCGTGCTGAGAATGGTGAGAAGACAACGAGGGAGAAACCGCCTGCCCGCATCCACGGGTGTCTGCATTCGTTCGTCGCTCGTTTTGCGCCGCGAAACTCCATCGAAACCGCAAGTTACGCAGGCTAGGTGCGATAAACGAGTGCGCAGTGCCTTGTCAGGTTGGTGCTTTGTAAAGTGATATCTTTCCTACGCAATCCTTCCGCGTACCGTACTTCATGGATGCCTCCCCGATACCCGTTCAAACGAACGCGCGCAATCGTTTCTCGCACAGTTCCGTTCTGTCTCCACGCCTAAGATAATTCAAGCTTTGTATATAGATACTGCGTGTCACAATTGGTAACGTTCTTTGTGCGGGATAAAAGCTCTGGAGCAGCTCGACTTCGGAAAGGATGTAATTGAGCTCATCAAAAGCTCAAGGCAAAGAGACGGTACTGAAACATACCTTTGAGCCGGACCGCTTTGGTTATTTGATGCTTCTGAGCCAGGTTCTAAGGGACAAAAAGTATTTCAGCGCTATTTTCATTCGTAGCCGTCCATTTTTAAACCTTTGTTGATCCCGCCTGATGTTTCATCAAAGAGCCTGCTCACTCGACTAATTTGTGTCTCACGCATAAAATGAATCACTAGTAGTTTGCGTGACATTTTAAAATGTCAGAACAAAACCTAAACACCGCTCAAAAGAAGTGCGATCTCAGCAGAGCTCAAGGGGAATCATTCCCTTTTCGCTTGCGACAAAGGCATCAAAAATAACATTAAAGTGCAATTAAAATCTAAGTTATTTATGCAAAACTTAATCTGCGTTTTGTCGGGTATACAATAAGGCCTCATCAAGCAATCGAAGATTTAATTGAACTTTTCATCGGTCGGTGTTTCAAATGATTTCAATGACGCCTTCGCTAAATGTTAGATTGAAAAAATATTCTGAGAATGAGAAAGAATACAGATAAAAACAAAAATTAAAAATCGAATAAACTGCTCTCATTGAAACACGCACGGATAGTTTTGTCGCATACATTTAGTGATTTCATAACACTTGACCGCTCGATCACAGGAAATATCCGTCAGTAGTACTAAGTCAGTACAGAAAATGTAGAAGAACTCACCTTTCAGAACGTATTAGTCAACCAGTTATCCTGGAAAAGACTTGCCGATGAATAAGTCGAGACTCTTGTGTTCTAAACGGGAAGATCAGTTCAGTTATTCACTGAGAAGTCAGTTGGAGCACACATCATAACTCACGACCGGCGGTGCACAGGAATGTTTTGATCATTTGAGAAGCTGTTTCCAGTCCCTCACGTTTCCTGCGCGGTGTTATATCAGTGACTATCTCGATATAACGAAGGGCCCAAGTGGCTGGCACAATCAATCATAAAAAATATGTTCGCCATAACGAGGTCTTGTTGTTAATCGGGGTTGTTATTCATATATTTTAGATTTTTACTATTACTGGGGCGAAAACTATCACAGTAGAACCCCGGTAACTCGAACTCGAATAACTCGAATTTCCCCGCTAATTAACTCGAACCAGGTCCCATTTCCCTCGGATTTGACCCCACTTTTCAGTCATTTTAACTTGGTTAACTCGAACTCGGATAACTCGAATTCCCCGCTAACTCGAACTAAATTTCGTTTCCTTTGATAAAAATTTACCGCGATAACTCGAATTCTGGTTAATGTAATTACATACATACATACATAATTACATACATAATTTATTTGATAAAGCAGGTTGGAGATCAAAATTGGCAAGACGTTAAGTCCTGATGTGGACCTGCACTATCTAGGGATGTCATCCCATATGCATTAGCTTTTCTTGTCGTGTAATCGGTAAAAACACTCAAAACTAACACCACAGCAATTTGATTTTAATTAGTGCAACCGACCGTTAACATCTTTGACAGTCATTTCCCAATGTTAAGAGTCATACCGGATGCGGTGCCTTTAGCTGTCACTGTATACAGAAGTGCTGAAAAATCAGTAAACTATCAATTATTAACATGGCAAGTTGGATATTCAGTCGACCCCAATAACTCGAACCCCCGCTAACTCGAACTGTTTTTCGTTTCTTTTCAGAGTTCGAGTTACCGGGGTTCTACTGTATTAGTATTAACTTCATCTTAAGTGTCCACGTTTGTAGGGATTTACGAGTACCTACAGGAGCCCATCACCCGGAGCCTCCATACGTACTTTATCTTAGAGTCAACCCTTTCCAGTATCTTTCTATTTTTAGAACTGTAATTAGCGCAAGGGTCTCTCGATTTCCCACGAGATAGCTTGTTTCTGCCGATAAAAAATACAAAATAGAGGGCAAAAGGGGGAGGCAGTGTTTGATGTAACAAAGAATGGTGTTAGCTCGGGTATCACTTGGTATTGAAAAGGGGTCGTGTGAAAACTCCCACAAGAGCTGTTTCTAAAATTAGAAAGATATGGGAAAGGGTTGGCTCACAGGGTTACTACGGGAGATGGAGGCTCCGGATAATGGCTCCTTGTACCTACGGTTAACTCGCTTTGGGCTAAGACGGACATTGTGTGCGTCGTGACCAGCAAAAGGTTGAAAGGTTGATGTATTGAATTCCATAGAGGAATCTGATCAGGCAACGTTTCTTAAGCTTAAAAATTGTCTCTTCCATCTTAAAACGAGTCCACTCGTAATGACTTGATTAGCGAATGAACGGTAGTCACCAACTCAAGGCGTCTACCTTTAAAGTTTCTTAAAGATGGCGTTGACATAATAGACTACGAGTAGTCCCTCTTTCGCTTAGTCCGTCGTGCGAGACGCGAAAGAAAACCGCGAGAAAAAAATGGCCGCGCGAAGCGAAAGAGGGACTACTCGTAGTCTATTGACATAACGACCTCCGCCTCCTTTTAGAAAAGCAGGCAAACGTTGGAACCCGGGAACTAGCGGAAGTTGCACGAAATCGAGGCGAATCGAGAGGACAATGGGCACGAATAAACACATGGGTAATATTTTCAGCACGGAAGGAAGATGAACGATGACTTCTGTTGCAATTTCCCTTCGTGTATTCGGTATTTTCGCAGGTTAAATNTCCTTGTACTAGTTCTCCGGGTATCTCGGGTATCACTTGGTATTGAAAAGGGGTCGTGTGAAAACTCCCATAAGAGCTGTTTCTAAAATTAGAAAGATATGGGAAAGGGTTGGCTCACAGGGTTACTACGGGAGATGGAGGCTCCGGATAATGGCTCCTTGTACCTACGGTTAACTGGCTTTGGGCTAAGACGGATATTGTGTGCGTCGTGACCAGCAAAAGGCTGAAACTGGTTGATGTTTTGAATTCCATAGAGGAATCTGATCAGGCAACGTTTCTTAAGCTTAAAAATTGTCTCTTCCCTCTTAAAACGAGTCCACTCGCAATGACTAAATTAGCGAATGAACGGTAGTCACCAACTCAAGGCGTCTACCTTTAAAGAAAAGCAGGCAAACGTTGGAACCCGGGAACTAGCGGAAGTTGCACGAAATCGAGGCAAATCGAGAGGACAATGGGCACGAATAAACACATGGGTAATATTTTCAGCACGGAAGGAAGATGAACGATGACTTCTGTCGCAATTTCCCTTCGTGTATTCGGTATTTTCGCAGGTTAAATGGAATACGTCGGTTATAGAGTTGTCAGAGGACCCGATTGGAGATGGGGAAAGCAAGACGGAGGCGAAGGGCACGTAGGAACGGTGCGGAACTTTGAAAGTAACCAAGAGGTTGTTGTCGTTTGGGATAACGGGACGGCAGCCAACTATCGATGTTCAGGCATTTATGATTTGAGAATTTTGGACAGCAGTCCCACTGGTAAGCTTTCGATCAGCTGGAGATTTCTTTGCACTATCGATCGGATTACAATACTTAGCGTGAAAATTTGTCTTCTCCAATGGACGGTATATAACTTTGTAGCAAGTTTATCAACCGGCGTTTTTCCCTCAAACAACTTTCGGAATCGATCATTTCGCTTTTCGAGTATGAATTGAAGCAAATGACTTAAGATGAAATTGGCTAGCCATCTGTACTTTCTGTCGTTCCAATGAGAGCTTGTTAGATTACATATTGAGAATTATCGAGGGAAATCAGCCCAAAGAAACCCCTCCAATCCAAACCAGGAACACATAGTCGATGTTGTCGTCCTAGTTACTTACCCTTGAATAGATTCCCTTTATCCCTGCATGGTGTGGAGAAATCTGGAGAGTGCTAGTCTGTAGTTAGTTACACTGTATTTTTGAATCATAATGCAAAAAAAATTTTGTATCTGGTAATAACATTGAATTGAAACTCGTGCATCATGTTGTAAAAATATTAATTGATACCAGTCATACACTGTGTGCCACATAAGACATATTTAGGTAAGGGGTATCTAACAGTCTTATTACCCAGGCAGATATGTATTTATACTGTTACAGTAAGTAGGAAATAATATGCAAGGTTGTTGTCTCTTAGAATAATGTTAAGCGAACTTTCTTCCAGGTATAAAGCATGATGGTAGTATGTGCGATGGTTGTCGCATGCAGCCAATTTATGGAATGAGATGGAAGTGTGCAGATTGCCCAGACTACGAGTTGTGTAGTATGTGTTACCATGGAGACAAACATCAATTGCGACACCAATTTTATCGGATTGATAGTCCCAATGCGGAAAGGTAATTTTGGCATAGTTTGTCAGTGGTAAATGATAAATACATCAGAGTATTATTTTTAACACCATAAAACATTATTTAATTTGACCACTATAGTCGTGTGACAATATGAAATGAAGGCTAAGTTATTTCTGATTCGTAAGAAAAATCAAGACTCTTCCTCTTTTCTTCCAAGTTTTAGGGATTTAAAATACTAATGTGCAGTTTAGGACTGGCACTATTTACGCATGCGAAATCATATTATTTTTCAAAGCAAACATCCCCCCATATAAAATTCACCATTTAGCACTACAAAACGTTCCAAAATAGCTTTCCTTTAAATTTCGCCCTCAGCAACCCCTATATTTTAGCAACCCCCCATATTTTAAAAGTTGTCTAGGCTTGTGATTGCTGTAACAATGTACTTTGTGTTGGCATACAGGGTAATTTGTGAAGCACGACGAAAGAGCAAGAAGGTTACAGCCAGAGGAATATTCCCAGGTGCAAGAGTTGTGCGTGGAGTTGACTGGCAATGGGAAGACCAAGATGGTAAAAACACTTTTGGACAGTAGATAGTAATGTAAAGAAATTCATTGATGTAATGTATGTACATTTGTATGTCTTACTATTATTATTATTATTTTTTTTTTTTATTGACTGCAAATTTTTAAGAGACTTGGTGATTGATCCATCTTGGTTTTATGATACTTTTTGATATTAAAGGTCGTAGTATCAATGAATGATGTATCTGATTTATCTAGGTGGCCCAGGTCGACGGGGAAAAGTAACTGAGGTTCAAGACTGGAGCACAACAAGCCCACGAAGTGCTGCTTACATCTTGTGGGACAATGGAGCAAAAAATCTTTACAGACTTGGATTTGAGGGCATGGTATGACAGACTGACTTTTGTACTAAAATGTGTAGCATCCTATTTAATCATAACATCAGTGACAGGAATACTAAGTTTATTCTTACATGTAGTAGCACTTTAATAGACACAGAGAGAGTTAGATTGAACAGCTGACATAGCCAGATAGTGTTTCCAAGTGCTCCCAGTGTTTTAAACAGAGCTTTACATGCATCACGAATGGGGCATTCCTCAACAGTTTACCCTAGATATTTCAAGTTGTAGGCATTCACCATAAACTGGAGATACATACATGTGCACTTAACTAACTAACTATATAGGCAGCATAAGCTGATGTGGACCTGTGGTTAATTAGGAGTTACAAAATAAATAAAAAAAGAAACCTAATAAACCTAATAATTACAAAAACGTGTAAAATTCTAAAATATGATCACAAGTTAAATTAGATATTTTGGCTTCGATTTTCTCGAAAACGAAAAGCAAACTGGCGAAAAAAACAGCAAGGCATTGTTAGGTAGGTAAATTGAAAGCCATATGCAAAAAAACAACACTTTTGACGAAAAAAAATTTTTGACCTAAATAGTCACTTAGGAGGGTTTTCCACTAGCATCTTCAATTTGATAAATCTTTAGTGTAAATTATTGCTGATTGGTTGAAAGAAATTTTGTCAATAACTGTAGAAAGATAACGACGTTTGTTTTTAAATCCATGGTGGTCTTCTATGGATTTAACTGATTGCGGTAAAGAATAACATAAAAACATGAAAACATAAATGGAAGTTTGGGAGAATGGAAATTGCTATGGAAACACTTGCCTATTGGCTGGGGTTTCCACAGCTTTTCTGAGTTCTCCTAAACTTCTATGAGTAATCAGTGGGTGATTATCTGATTAGTCATTGATATTGGCATTAGTCAGTGAGAAATTGATGAATAATTGGTTACGGAAACTTTTGAGGTCTATCAATTACTCATCAGTGGCATCAATTACTCATCGATGTCATTTATTGTTCATTGGCTATTGATTACTCATCAATTACCTGGCTATTGATTAACCCGTGATTATGCTTGCCCTGGGTTATACAATCTTAAATTAATTATTAATATTTGTTTAGCTACAAGATTAATATCAACACTTATGTCTAATCAATGTGATCAGTGGCTCATTGATGCAATCAGTAATTTTTCAATGACTGAAAATTTTGAGGCCTATTTATTCTTCATTGATTGGTTATTGATCATAAGCAATAATAAATGACTAGTCAACTTATCACCCATTGATTTGATTGATGTCATTGACATCATTTTCCTCAGTTAATTATAACCATCCTTGGTCCTTTTTGAAACAAACTGATCGTCCAAGTTTAACCATTGTTTGTATTTCTCTTTTTAGGCTGATCTTAAAGTAATAAGTGATGCCAAAGGTGGTTCATTCTACAGAGATCATTTGCCTTTATTAGGTAATCATATATTTGACTATTACAGTCAAACCAAGTGATGCGTACCCCTCAAGATTACATTAATGAATTTATTATTTGAATATTGAACCCGCTAATTGTTTGAAGAATGCAATGATGAATTGATTATTTGAATATTGAACCCACTAGTCATTTCAAGAATGCAATAATGAATTGATTATTGGAAAACTGAACCCACTAGTCATTCCAAGAATAAGGCTAATGGGTTTAATGTTAAAAAAAGTCAATTTAATATTGATTTTTGAATGACTAGCAAGTTCAATATTCAAATAATCAATTCATCACTGCATTCTTGAAACAATTAGCAGGTTCAATGTTCAAATAATCAATTCATTAACGTAATCTTGAGGAGTACGCTTCACTTCGTTTGACTATAAGGATGATCTAGGATACAGATCTACATGTAGGCCATGATCAGTGTTCCAGATAAGTGAGGGGTCTCAGGTCCAAAACCCAACAAGGTCAGCTACATGACCCGATAGAAAATTTATAAGGTTTGGCAGGAGCAGTAGAAATTGGCCTGTTGGAATTCCTCAATGGCACCCTTCCTTGAAAAGGCATCTGGAACCCTGCATGATTATCTGTTGAACTCCTGACGTATCCCAGAGTACCCCTCTCTCACAGTCTAAACTAACTAAGTAAGTACAGACTTAGTGTGCAACATCTGCGTCATTAAGTTTTGAGTCATCTGCAACCTTGATCTTCACACTCGTGACAAACTTGTTTCCTTTTCTGGGTGAATTGTATCAGCTAAATGTATATACATGTATGCAAGTTCACCTGTTGCATCAAGGGGCCATCAAACATACTCAGCTGTAGTAGGTGTCACAGGTTATGGCTCTTATTAACAGCACCGGTAATATTGCACAGCACCCTCCTTTAAGTACACTGTAAATTAAAGAAATGGAAATTACCACTTTCGCTACCGTCAATCAATCGTTCGGTGGCTCCTCCCAGCTTCTGACTACTGCCGAGTGCGCGGTAATCAAATCAAATCGTTGAGCACAGTTCAGACAACATAGTCGGAAGCTGGAAGGAGCTGCCGAACATTTGATTGACGATAGCGAAAAAAACGCATTTGTCAGTTGAGCTTTGAATTTTAGAGTCCGCATGTTATTGAAAGGTGCAGTAATGCTGCTTAACAGCAAGAAATGTAAGTTTATGCAGCTTATGAACAAAAATAGCTCTTTTGAGAGCCACCAAACTTGTAAAAGCAATGAGTGATGCATACTCTGATATTATTAGTTTATTATAAGTTCTTATTAGCTTGCTATACAAACTTACATGAAAAGTGTTAATTTTTGCAAATTTACGGCACATTGTCCAGATGTTCTCACAGACATCAGCCGCATCCCTGACTTTAAGGGAAAATTTTGAGTTAAAAGGTGCGGCTTATCTGCTGGTGTTTACAGTAAAGGGTTTTGCACTACTAACAATACACCTGAATATATGCCTGAGTGATATTTATTAAATTCATTGTTTGATAATTATTATCGAACAAATCTTAGCAATGTTTATCTTTACGTGTACTGTAGGTGATACCCGGCCTGCAGGTCGTGCCACAGGTCAAGGCTTACAGATTGGAGATCAAGTCACTGTTGACCTGGATCTAGAGATTGTACAGTCACTGCAGCATGGGCACGGAGGCTGGACAGATGGGATGTATGAGGTGGGAAAGTCTTGAATGTTGTAAACACACTTCACATCCATGCAAAGAACTTTTATGCAAGCCAGACAAGTGCTTTGTTTCCTCTTTGCCCAAGTTGTTTAAATCAAAATTTTCAGCTTGATAAAATCTCAATCAGTAGCGTTTTTTGATACTTGTGTTGCTTGCATCTTGGTCCTAGACTCTTACAACACCAGGAACAGTGGTTGGCATTGATGAAGATCATGACATTATGGTGTTATATCCCACTGGCAACAGGTAAGAAATACCTTTGATCTCATGTAAAATTATGCAAATTACATTGATCTATCCATCTGACTTCAACAATATACATGAAAGTAGTGAACCATTAAAACGGATTGATTGACTGTGCCTCCAATCCTTGTGTAATGGGAAACATAATTTGTTGAACGTAGCACCGAAGCTTACTTCATGTACTGTTCCTCTCTTATCCTTAAGGTGGACATTTAACCCAGCTATCTTGACGAAAGTGACCACTGGTCCATCAGAGACTTCGGACAGTGTCCTTTCCCTCTCCACCCCTTCAGCCATCTCTCCTACTGCAGCGTTGCCCAATCCTGCGTCCGGATCCAGTACAATCTCGCCAGGGGCTGGCTCCTCATCACAGTTTGTTGTTGGAGATTTGGTGCAGATAAGTAGTGACATTGAAAGGGTCAAGTTGCTACAGAGAGGGCATGGAGAGTGGGCAGAAGCAATGCTGCCAGTGAGTTATTCGAGTTAATAAAATTTTGGCTTTAGTGTGCACCAACTGGATGAGTAGATTTATGACAGTTTATCAGTCAAGAGCATTTAACTACAAAGTCATGTAGGTGTAGTCTGATTAAAAACATACAATGTAAGAACGTGTTTGCGAGAGCTTCAAAGTATTCAGATATGCAAAACTGTTACAGAGTCTCCCAAATTGACACATAAGGACGTTTTCTATATCTTTAGACTCTGAACGCTGGAAAGAGTTTATTCCACATCTAAGTTAAGAAGGAGTTATGTCGACAGGCACACCATTATATGAAGCAAAAGTGATTTCATTAAGTCTTGATGTTTTCTCTTTTGCTTGCTCACGGGTCTCTTCATTTCCCTTTTTTCAGACTCTTAGCAAGGTTGGCAGAGTGCAACAGATCTACCATGACAATGATCTTAAGGTTAGTTTACAACAATGGAACTGCATACTGTAGATTTGTGTCCTGCAGTGTGCTCTCTTTTGATAATCCATTCAATGCTGAATGATGCAAATTGATCTTACACTTATCTGTTGCCATGCTGCAGGTGGAGATCTGTGGAACATCATGGACCTACAATCCAGTCCTTGTGACTAAAGTAGCATCCACAACTGACCCTTCATCTCTTGGGGCTTCAGCTGGAGGTATGACTTACTGGTTTGACAGAGCCATGTCATAATACATGCTACATATATGCAAAGTCATTTTCTTGTGTTTTACAAAATTAAATTCACATTGAAGAAAAAAAATACTGCTAGGCCAGAAAAACAGTAACATGAATGAACATGGGCAAACAATGAAGATGAACTGTATATGGTACTATTCTCAAGAAATGCCATGCCATTACATACAATGTAACTGCTTCCAACTTTGTTCTCACTGGTTGAGGGTTGGATTTTGGGAGTCAAACACGGTCATGACATAGTACTCACCACTGACATTTTTTTCCATAGACCAGGTAGATCTTTTACTGCCATTGTTTCACTTGCTGAATATTCATAGAACTGAAGATTTGAAATGTTGGTTCCCTTGTAGCTGAAAGATTATCAGCTCTCCTGAAGAAGTTGTTTGAGACACATGTCCCAGGCGATGCTGTGGAGGAACTAGTCAAGGCTGCTGCGAACGGAGATTCGCAAAGAGTTGAAGAACTTTTAGTCAAGGACGAGGCAAATGTAAGTGTAGAGTCCTATTCCAACAGTAATCCTTTAGTCTGCACGCATTGCGTGCCTGTAACACCGGCTTTCCCAGTTGACGATTTTCCCTATTCTCATCACAATGTAGCGATATTGTAGAGAGAAATAAGATGTTGATCAGTCCACGCTTGGTCCATCTTCCTTTATGTTGCTTCTAAATACATGTAATATCTGCCTTGTTACCTTACTTCAGGTCAATGGTGTGTTTGCCGGCCACACTGCTCTTCAAGCCGCCAGTCAAAATGGTCACGAGGATACTGTTAGAGTCCTCATTAAATATCACGTTGACTTGGAGGCTGAGGTATGTTTTAGGTTATGTTATTCCCTTATTGTTTTCTATGTAGAGTGGTCCTTGTGCGTTTTACTTGTCACTTGAATTGAAGTGGGAAACCAAATCTTGGGTTCCAGCCGATGAACAGGAACGTACACGGTATTTGTTCGGACAGACGGTTCAAATCTGTCTGCAATCACAAGCTACCACCTGCCTGAAAAACCTGGTTGAAGTTAACTTAGGATGACAGTAAGGGTTTTTTTTCTGGAAAATCAACTGACTAACCGAAAGTGAGGGAAAAACAGGCGTATGGTAACAAAACTTCCATTGTTGCGTTCCAACTAGAAAAAGGAGGAGTGCCTCAGCAAGTAGTCCAGAATGTAAAGAATACCCGAAAGCTGTCCGACCAGTGTGTTTTTCAACCAAAAGTTGCGGCTTTTTCCCATAACATGGTAACCAACCATGCCTTCGGCTTGTTTTCGAGAATTGACTTCGTGCTCAGAGACATGCCGTTCGTGCCACTACCTTTTTTTCATTTCAAAAGAAGACACATTATTATTATTATTATTATGTTTCACATTCAGGACAAAGATGGCGACCGTGCAATCCACCACGCGGCGTTTGGAGACGAGGCGGCCGTCGTGGAGCAGCTGGTCAGAGCAGGGAGTGACATGAACGCGCGAAACAAACGGCGCCAGTCACCACTACACGTGGCTGTCAATAAGGGCCACACGGGGGTGGTGAAGAAACTTCTTGGTCTGGGATGTCACCCCAGCCTACAGGTGAGGGGATAAAATCTGGGTGCTCAGGCGCAGCTATCTAAATGTGTAGTTTTGTGTGGTTTATAAGGATAATTTCTGCTAAAAATGGTAGATTACTTAACTGAACAAAGTGTTAATAGAAATATTAGGCTACCAGTAAGGAGATTTTTATGCTAAATTCACATGATATTAATCGAATACATTATCGTTGTATTTAGGATACTGAAGGAGACACTCCGTTACATGATGCCATTTCCAAGAAACGTGACGATATGGTCACGATGTTACTGGAGTCCAATGCTGACGTGACAGTGGCAAATAACAATGGTTTCAATGCTTTGCACCATGCCGCTCTTCGTGGAAACCCAAGGTGAATGAGCGCAATTTTCTTATGAACCAATCTCTGTGTAGCAACCCTATGCCATCAACCAATTAGAATGTAAAGCCAGTTAAACGTGAAAAGCGCAGGAAAGTCGCGGAAGCCATTTCACGGTTACTTTTGTTTTTGAATGGCCGCGTGTACAATGTCCACCTTCAAACTGGTTAACTATACAGAGGAATCTCTTGAAAGGAGACTAGTCTTAGCTAAGATTGGTTTCCATGTGATCGCTGCGATCGCTACAGAACTTACGACTACCGGTTTCTATATCATCACCACAAGCGAGCGCTGCGATCGTCGAGATAGAACTGAGGTCGCAACGATCGCTGAGCGTTTTTAGCAGTGATCTTGGCAATCAAATGGAAACTAGCCCTCAATAGTTAGGCGGGGTTCCACTCTACCATACTTGGACCAATTAAAAAGCTCAGCAAATGCAGTAACAACCATTACACTGATCTGCACAAACTCGTTCACACTTGAAGGCGCAAATTAAAACACAATTATTTGTTTTCTTGTGCAGTGCCATGCGTATTCTTCTCGCCAAGCTCCCTCGGCCATGGATCGTGAATGAAAAGAAGGATGACGGGTACACTGCCCTTCATCTTGCGGCACTCAACAATCATGTAGAAGTCGCCGAGCTGCTCGTCAAACAAGTGAGTCTGGTTTATTTCATGCCGTAAACCAAAAGGGTTGTGGAGAGTGCATAATGCAGTCTAGTCATTGTCTGCGTTAGTGGTGTTTTAGATCTGGACATTGACTTAATGTATGTTTGCAATCTTTTGGGGACACACGATGTCTTAGTGTATTCTATTCTTTTTTATTTTATGTTGAGATTTTCAGATAGTTAAAATATGTCTTCGACAACTCAAGTGCGACAAAGTTGAGTTACTGCGTTTTTCTTTAGTTCTTTCTCATGGAACTTTTGTATTTTCAGGCAAAAGCTAATAAAGATGTACAGAATACAAACTTACAAACACCGCTGCATCTGGCAGTGGAAAGACAGCACACACAGATAGTCAGGGTAAGTATTGAGTAATCGCTTCAGAAAATGTCATCGATCTCTATCATCATCGATAGTTGTCAACTTTTTTTGCCAACATAACAACAACAAAGCTGAGAACATTTGCGTCCGTCGGGAATTTGACATGGGAACCACGCTTGGAGGAGTGTTAAAACTGAAATAGCAGTAAAAACGGAAAAAGTAACACAAAGTCGAGTTTGAACAAACTACCTTGCACAAATCGTTTCTGTTTCGCTGTTTTCCCCGCATAAACGTCCCCCAGGTCGTAAATGCGTTCTAGAAGGCCATGTGCGATATCCAACGTAGTGATAACATTGAAAATGAAATGCGTTTATGTGTCTGTGGTTGCTCTTTTCTTCTTGATACATGTAGCTTTTAGTCCGTGAAAATGCCAAGCTGGACATCACAGACAAGGACGGTGATACACCTCTTCACGAGTCCCTCAGACATCACACTCTGTCCCAGCTGAGGCAGCTACAGGACATGCAAGATGTCGGCAAGGTATAATAAACACGTGTTACTAATTCGTTCAAATGTTAGCATCAGGTCAAACTTCCACTCGGGAACTTTCAGCAGGGTCCAAATTTAATTCAGTATTGGTCAGAATTTTGCAAGTCTGTGCGAAGGGACTTGTCAACTTTCGAAGTACTCACGAGTGGCCGAGAAAGGCTTTTAATTGGAGAAACAATTGGTATGATACGAATGTTACGAAGTTTTTTCGACAATAGGCATATTTTTTGCCGAAAGAGAAGATAGGCGATGGGGCAAAAGATAAAGTGAGCGCCACTACCATCAAATCTACTCAGAAGTAGAACAGTTTGCATAGGCTCACATAGACACGTATTGCGTACAGAGCTCTAAGCACTCCAACCCTTGTCGCACTTTATGGGCTACCTAATAGTTATTGATTGCCTTTTGTTCTCTCTTTGCAGCTTCTCATGGGTTTAGGAACACAAGGCACTGACAAAAAAAGCAGCGCGTCCATCGCGCTCTTCCTGGCGGCTAATGGCGCGGATCTGAACATAAAAAACAAGAAAGGACAAACTCCGTTGGATCTCTGTCCCGATCCTAGTCTCTGTAAATCGTTAGCCAAGTGCCACAAGGAAAGGGACGGGTAAGAATGGAGCTAAAACATGGCTCCTCAGGAGCCTGAATAGGCCACAAGAGAGGTGTCCTTATGAAGGCAACTTAGAGGACCTTCATCGAGCTTGAGTTCGAGATTGAATTTATAAGAATCTGGCAAATTATCTAAATTCATTCGGTATATCTAGTTGTGTTACATAGTTAGCTATTTTAGTTAGCTAATTCTCATGCTGGATATGTAAAGACCGGTTGTAGTTTCAAACACGAACATGGAAAAGTCGTTGTCGGGTTCTCTTTGTTCAAAATAGCTGCAGTTTGATCATTTTACGTTTAATGTATTTGTAGAGGACATCTAAGAAAAGTACCATTGTGTATAACGCAGGTGCAAAGCAATTTTTACTCATATTACATACACTTTTTGTTTGACGATGCATCCGCTTCCATTTTTGTCTATGTCCTTGCCATCTTTCCTTGGCAGGGGGACGCAAAAGAACAACACAGTCACCCTGGCGGATGTAGACGAGAACGAAGGGTTGGACGAATGCATGGTTTGTTCCGACATGAAGCGTGACATGCTGTTTGGACCATGTGGTCACGTGGCAACCTGTTCCCTGTGTTCACCGCGCGTGAAGAAATGCCTCATGTGTAAGGAGACTGTACAATCCAGAACTAAGGTAGGAGCTACTTTCAATATTACCACTATTGTAGTCGGTTCGCTATCTTTACTTTGGTTGTCACGCAACAATATCTTCGTAACACATTGCTCCTGTGTTTTCGTCATGCGACGCTTCAAGGAGAACTGTTGCGTTTACGTTGCAAATGAGCGGAATCACTCCAACAGCTTAAAACAGTCATGGGTTCAGAGCACTGTAACTGACATTTAATTAACTAACTAATAACTAATATGAGTCTATTTAGTTAATTTTATCCTTTAAGTGTGGTTTTAAAAATTCCAGCAAGGCTTCCCCGCCGTTTTTTTGTGCGATTTTTTTGACCTCCCGTTTACCACTGTTCACTTGACGAACCACAAAGAAAAGCTAAAGAAACTTCTCGCTTGAACACTGTCCTGTGCTGATTGGTTTTATTTTGCGTTGCCATTTCAGATCGAAGAGTGTCTTGTCTGTTCAGAGAAGCCTGCAAGAGCGCTGTTTAAACCATGTGGACACATGGTGGCTTGTGAAAGTAAGTTTTGAAACATGTTGATCATTCCAAATAACTGTTCTCAGATTATTTATGACAAATCTCCTTACCGATCTCGATACATTGCTTTAAATGCTACTTTTGAATTTGATGTTATGTCAAGACAGTCACTTGTCTCCGTAATGTCTTGGTATTGTGACGAAAAATGAGCGAATATTCGTAGAGCTCGTTACTTGTCCCATTAGCTTATTTTGTTTAACTTGGCTTGTATATATACTGTAAGGTAATAAGTCCATACATTTAAGTCATACCAACTTTGGAGAGCTTTCTTTCTAACTGGGGTGCATTAACGTTTTTAGCTGAAGAGCAACTGGTTTTCACAGGCGGGCAAAGTAACCTATTTGGACTGAACTTCTTTGTAAGAAAACCTTTCCACTAGATGGTCAAACCAGGCAGGCAAAATCCTCCTTGCAGCTGGTCAATTTGCCGGTGCCCGGCCCTTAATGAAACCCCTCATTTCTTCGCTCTTTTTGGTACAAATATGAATGTTGCTTTCGTTGTTGTAGACTGCGCCTCACTGATGAAGAAATGTGTGCAGTGTCGAAACGCAATCGAAGAGTCTGTACCATTTATTGTGTGCTGTGGAGGAAAAGGTTTGTAAAAATGCGTTTTGATGAGGATTGTTTTAATTGACCGTGGGCAACCCCTCTCTCCCTTTCTCAGACCACTTCAGGAGAAAGGGTTGCGGTTTACCCAGCCATTCTTGAACATTTTTTGTGTTGTGTTTTAGCGCCGCCCGTATGCCAGACGAAATCAAGTGGTAAACCCGAGATTAGCCCGCAAGAATTCAGTCACTTGCAACAACAGCTACAAGACATGAAGGAACAGGTATGGAGTTTTTACTTTACATACAAAACACTTCTGTTTGGGCATAGGGAAGTCTGGGATCTACCGTGAGTAGTGACGTCACCAAATTGCACAAGCCGATAGGTGTAGGGAGTAGAGAATCCCTAGGATCTAGGTCGCCGGTTCAGCCCTAGTCTTGTACTAAATAGCGTAGAATTCTGAGAAAGTCCCCTCGCCTGAAACTCTCTCTCCCTCAGTCGCTAAAACTCCTGAGATAACTTCACCCACCTTCCTAAACTTACATGCAAGTCCAAGGGCATTATTTAACACGATGTCGCCTTTAAGTTGTTAGCACCCTTTTACAGAACTAGTTTTGCATTTTCTGTCGTTATCTTGTGTTTTGTGAGGTCAGTACGTTGTATAGTTCTACTGTGCAATTTTTTAATTTGCACTGATCTAAAATATGGACGCGTGATCTCCATTGCATTTGCGAAACATTTCTGGAAAACCGCTGTTACATTATTTCTCTTTTTCTTTCCTCTTTAGACGCTGTGCCCAGTTTGCATGGATCGAAAGAAAAACCTGATATTCTTGTGCGGTCATGGCGCATGTCAGCTTTGCGGAGATCGCATGCAAGAGTGTCCGATGTGTCGCAAGCCCGTGGAAAAAAGGATTCTGCTGTTTTAACGGCAAAGCCTCCCCGAGAAAACGTTTTATCGAATTAGCTAAAAACCACAATACTTCAACGGGAAGTCGTAGTCCAGGATTAAACGCATTCTGGAATTTTTTTAGGGAATAAACTGGTGTATCAGATGCCAAAGATCATTGCTGCAAATGGATCTCCAAGAAAGGCTAGCCAGAGAATACATGGAGTACTAAAACGCGAATCTCTACACTAAAAATAACAATGGATCAAAAACTTGTAGTAAATTAAATAATCTAAGACGAACAGTAACTGAAAAGATCCTGGAAAGAGCTTCAAGGTCTATTGTATCCTGTTCTGACTGGTGGTGTTTGCCACAAATGAAACGATGTATTTATAGCGCAATGGCGAAGAACAGACAATGCATGTAGGAACAAATGGGTGTGGACGTTTTAGGCCTTGAAACCAGAAAACGTCTTAAACACTCATTTCTTTACTTTAAGACACCAGTAGCAGATTAAAATATGATAAACCAAAGCGGATTTGTTGTTGGGTTACGCGCCGGGATAGTTCAAACCCGTGGCACTACATGAATTTTTGGTCAGGGCTGGGACATTTTCCGAACAGACTCTGAAAGCAACCGGCGCGCCCCATAAGTATCGCACGAAGCCCTATGGTTAGGACAGTTTTTGTTCGCTTTGTAAATAAGGAACATTAATTCTTAAATTCTGTTTATTTGCACGCATTAAATGAAAGTAAGATACATAGTGTGCAAAATATAATAATTCCGGGTAACTTGGAATGGTATTTAACACACCATATTTTCACCAAGACACCCTATTTTAAACTCGGCAACCAAAACTAATTTTCACAACTTGCTAGATACGATCACAAGAAACTATTTCAATTCTTTACAATAACGCGCTCGGGAATGTCCCGACATATTGTTCCTCGCATTATATAACATATTTCGATGCATAAAATTTTCGTTGAACCACACTATATTGAGAATAAATCATTTGAAATTGCAATATTTACAACAATTAAAACTACTTGAAAAAATAGGAACAAAGAGCGGTTTTCGTCTGACTTTTGAAAGCAATGGCTTGTCACTCACTCAGGGCATAAATCTCGTGTTTTGTCTGACGTACGATTTCCCGCGAGTTTTCTTCGATTTCTGATTGGTTCATGGCGTTAGCTATGATTGGCCCAGTGATTAGTTTTCAGCGTAGTGCCTAGGCCTCCTCTCGGGTTGATAAATTTTATTTGGCTTTCACGAAAGTCTTATGGAAAACCGCTTCAACTGTTAACAGGAACTTTAATAATAACTTGAGTTCAATAACAAGCAAAGCTTTTCAAGGAAAATTATTTTCAAGTCCACTTATTCGTGAATGGTGACTTTACACTTGCGACTGAGCGGCATCACACCTTTGTGGACACTTCTAAAATGAAAGAACAAAAGAACAAATTTAGCTTATTACCTTATGGGCTCAACTTGTAATAAGTAGATATGGAAGCGACAGTTCTCGGTTTTTCTAGTTAAGAGATAAAATACAAGATCGTGGAATGTCTTGTTGGTCAATGTTGTGAAGGAAAAAGAGGAGAGATTTGTGCCGAAGACGTTAAGGCAATTCTGGCTCAACAACTCACCATATTTAGATGTTCACGCATCTGCTTCCTTCCCCTCAACAACCGGCGAGAAAGACATTAAGTTATCTTGTGCCCTGACCATAGCGGTCGAGACGGGGGCGAAGAAAACTGAGTCTCTTCTCTTCTCGTTGTTGACTGGAGACTCGTCGAGAGAAAACGCAGCTAACTGACTGCATGGCGTCACAGCGGCATGACTCTCTTTTCCCGCCACTGGAGCAAGCGAAAGGAGCGGCGAACCGTCAGTTTTGGCGGTAAATCGGCGCACAACGTTCTCCGGTGACATCATCCCGAGGCTGTCGGTAAGAGCTGGAGTCTTGGTGGAATCCGACGGGGACACAAATATGGTGGTTTTGGGCATTGGTGTAATCTGGCGGGAATTTGGCGACGGTGTGTCCATGTCTGAGAGATACCTGAGGATGTGTATGGGTGTTCTGCCTGTTTTGGGATCACAGCTGTTTGTTATGGAGGGTTTGATGAAGTTGTGGGGTTCTTCAGGTGGGGTGAGGTTTACATTCTCGCTAACAACCAAGTCCTCTGACCGTGTTTCTTTATCTTGGAGCAGGTTTTCTAAAATATTAACGGTAGCAAATAATAAAGAAACAAATGAATGCACGGCAATAGAATTGACTTTTCCAAGTAATAAAGGATTTCAAAAGTAACAATAATTAGAACAGATGTACATATAATACTACATCTAATGAACCAAGGATTTTATAATTTTATGACTGGCTGTCGGTGATAAAATGCGACATTTCAAAGGGAGCACATCGGGTATCGAAACTGCAGACTCAATTTCAAGTTCATGGCTGGTCCTCCGTGTCCAGCTTAATTAGATGGCAAAGAATTCACGCAATTATTTCGATTTAAATGTAATTTTGCGCATTGCAGCATATACAGCTGCCTCAACAACTACAGCTAACTGTTCCATCTTACCCGTAGCCTTGTGGTCAAAATCCACGGTTTGTTTCTCGCGGTATTCTTCATCGGAGGATGGGCAAAGATATTTAGAGAACGCGTCTTGCTCTATACCCTGTTGATCGAAGTTGTTTGGTTAAGTCACAATTATCTCATCTACAAATAAAATGCATCAACTAATGCTTGTAACGAGGAAAGACGCACCTGCGAGCGCGCGTAACGAGGAAAGTCGCGCGAGTCAGGTGCACGTTAATTTTAACAAATGGAAGGCTTAAAACAAAAAACAAAATTATTTTATCGACATTGAATTATCATTTTATCCCAGAGCGGTTTTGAACGCAATCGCTCCGGTTTCACGCTCATCTCTCGTTGAGTCGAAGTGCACGTAAAATTGTGGCTTCTCGCGTGTACAAGCTAATAATCATTTTACAGAGCAAAACAAAAAGCTTCATCTTTTCAACTGTCACGACGAAGATGAGGCCAAACGTTTATGACAAATTTTGGAAATAAAAAACCAACCAACTCACATTTTTAGGAGTTTCCTGTGTGGTAGATTCCTTCGTCGCTTGGAACAGTTTCATTGAAACCTCCACGGGTGTCTTCTCAGGAAAAAAAAAATATAAAAACAGAAAAACACCTTTCATCAGCTACATCAAATTTCTTTGGTATTCTGATAGAATCAAATATGTTTAAAAAACTAAACAGAAATCTCTGGGCAACCGGGCGCAGAATTGAATGGATACTCAGTGGAATACAGTCAATTAGGAGAATTCTATTTTTTTTGGCCAGGTGCTGGCCTGCGCAGATTGTAAATGAACTCGACCCCTCACCTTTCCTTGTTGGTCAGAAAGAGCCTCCAATGGAGTGGAATCGCGGTATTTAGAGGGCGTTTTTCGCGCTGACCTTCTCAATCCTGATCCAGGACAGCGCTGTACAGCTTTATCATCTGTGGAGTCGGAATCTGACGAGCTTCGACCTTGGCTATCAGTTCCATGACCAGCATCTTCTTCAACCCTGGAGACTCTTCTTCTAGGCCTCTCCTGGTAGTAAGGAGTCCCCATACGAATGCGGCACTTGCGCGCCGAGAAACGCTGTGGGGTTGACTTCTTCGCCCTATTTTCGAATGAGCCTGTACCATTCAGGCCAGTTGACACCACTGGACTGCAAAATACTTCGTCTACCGCGGATTCTGGCGTGCTCTCTTCGGGGTTCGGCGACTGAAAAGTGACTGTTCCTGAAGACTTACGAGATTTGTTCTCCGCGGGCTTGCAAGCAGATTTCAAAACTGCAGGTTCCTGTTGCTCGAGATCGCACTGCATTTCATCCTCCTGAAGCTGATGGTCCATTTCGCTCGTGTCCTCAACCTGCATGCAAGTCCCAGTGATAGCCAGCTTGTTGGGGTGATTGTCTGGCGTAAGCCTAAGCCCAGGGCTGTTTTCGCTAATGACTTTGGGCGTGGTCACCACCACAGGGGTGTTGTTCCTAAGTATGGAACGTTTCTGTGGAGTCTTACGGATAGACCGGCGTACTGGTGTCAACACAACCTCATCACTGCCGTCTGCAAGAGATCCCAAGAGAAATCAGCAGCTAGTTCCTAATTAAAATATTGAATACTTTCTAAGCAACTGAAATAGAACTGTAATATATATGGGTTATTGATCAAGTGTGAGGTCAAGATGACTGGATATTGGTCAAGTTCTGTTTTTTTCTGCGAGTTTATGGACCGAGACGCGGTCGAGGTCCATAAACCCGCAAAAAAAGAACGAGGCCAATATCCAGCCATCTTGACCGAACAAACTTGGTCAATAAAGAATTTATTATATGGCTTTCGGAGAAATTTTTCTTGCGGGACACGGCGGGTAGTCCCGAGCGGGCAACATAGCTCCATCTTGCCCTCTCGGGTAGCCAATCACAGCGCAGGATTTGATTCATCTTGCCCGCTCACAGAGCTAGCCATATAATAAATTGATGTATCCCAAAAATCTCACATGAATAGAAAGGCATGGTTTCTATTAAGGAGAATTTGCCCTTTGAAGTTGGGACCAAAACGGTCAACAGAGGCGTCATTCGCGGTGATGTGAAGCAGGAGTAGAGATCTGCGTAGGACGATAGAGTTCAGTATCTACTATCAGTACATGCCGTTCATTCGTTTCCTCTTGTTGAACAACGGTGAAACGGATACAAAACAGGAGAGAGACAAAGTGGCCGCGGTAAAATCTCTGCAAAACTTTACGTTTTGAAGTTTTCCTCTTCCCGTTCGACGGGAAGAGAAAATAGGACAAGAAAATGACTTGTCCTCAAGTGTTTTGGCAGGCTAGTTTGCTATATCTCACTTAAAAGCTCTACATGTATGTCCTGACTCCAGTAGCTTACCGCTTTTACTGCTCTTTTTAACCGGGGTAAGAATAGTTACGAAGGCTTCTTCCTGAAATTGAAAACAAAAATTCTCGATAAGTAACAGACAAATAAGAAAACAACTAACGACGACATTAAGAACTGGCCCATCGCAGTGCTCTTTTGAGCACTCACAATTAGCTACGCTTCAACTGGTTTCGCGGAATTTCTGTCATCTTGCAACCTCGATTTTAGGCTCTCTCCAATTCCCATGTCGTTAACCAGGGAGGAAAAGGTGAGAAAAGCTAGGTTCGAACGGTCGAACTTATACATCTTCGTGGAAGATTTTTCAGGCCAAACAAAAATCAAGTTATTTCTGTGCGCTGGTCTTCGTTACCTTTTCTTCGCAGCCGTTACTGAGCCGCTACAAAACCACGATTGTTGCTGGGTTTTTGTTTTTCTTTCTTTTTTTTTTTGAAAAGTCGCGCGCCTACCCAGAAGGAAAAACGAAAAAAAGCTAGTTAGGTGGGGAAGGGAAATCAAAAGAGCTCTGCAAACGCACAACTTAAAGTCCGCAAGTATCACGCATTATGCATTTGCGAGTGTGACTGTTGGCTGTTTCACTGACACTAGAAGTGTACTCGATTGTCGAAGATTTAATAATGGAAAACTAGGCTTGATTAACAACCGCTGTTCGAGTGAGCGGCGAAAATTGAGCCTAACAGAAACCTTGATCCACTGCAAACCTTACGGAGCATTTCTCTGTAATAAACCACCATAGCCCACTCACCCACAGAATTTGATACTGTTCGCGCGTTTCTTCGATCGTTCCTTATGCGCGACAAAGAGGCAAACATTTCATTTCATTTTTGAGTTATTTTTTTTACAAAAAAAATACCTCTTAGTCGGCGCGTCGAGTATGTTACGGGTCAATGGGTGAGTGAGTGAGTGAGAGAGAGAGAGAGAGAGAGAGAGATTGATTTTTCTGGCAAAATATCTTGCGTGAACTCTTTCTCCAAAGCAGCTATTAATCATGAAAAGAAAACAAAGCTTTTGAAAATTAATCTTGAGTCTTATACGCCCCNTGGCTTACTATTTAGCTATCTTACCATGACCGATGTAACATCGCAACCAAAGAAAAAATGTCAAATTAACTAAATCATTACTGTACCATGAATGCTCCTATCTCCGACACTTCACACAAAAAAAATAACTCTTGCACGCCTTGCGTGCCTATGTTTTTTTTCGGTAAATGAAGCACAAGTATATACACAGCGCAAACAGACCTCTTGGTGTCTTTTCTCAGCTCTCAGTTTTTCCTTGTCTGCTGCCATCTTTGCCTTCATGGCCAGTCTCATTTCCTGAATTCTGTTTCTTGCAGTAGCAAGTTTGTTGTTGGGCTTGGCGTCGTTGCCTGGCGTTGGTTTCTATTTAAAATTAAAATTTAAACTCTTTAACCCTTAGAGTGATCAACATGCAGTTACTCCAACATTAGCAGTACAATGTCAACCAAGCAAGTGACAAAAAAACAAAAATTTTTCATAGCTTCTAGGTTATATTACCCAAATAGTGTCTTGTAATAATCCTTAGCTGGCGGAAGGGTACCTAACTGTCGGACTAGAGAGACGGGCGGTATAACCTACTGACGATCTGGCTACCTGAATGACAGGATAGCTTAAAGGTAAAGGTAAAGGTAAAATCTTTATTCAGACACGGTTTTTCCTTCAGGACTTAAACAATATTGAATTAAATTAGTCTCACAACCTATTTAACAAATCACTAATGACTACTACAATAAGAGAAATGATAAAAAAAAAAAACCTGCCTCACAAGGAAGCCGTGTATACAAGCAAAATAAAACTTTCATAAGACTACCATCAAAATCATAATTCTTCAACTTAGATTTAAATTCATCAAGAGAGGGTGACTGTCGAATATCCAAGGGTAAATTATTCCACAGTACAGGTCCGCTGTAGGACAGACTTCTTTTACAATAATTAGTGTGGGGCTGTGGAATGGTAACTGAACAGCCACTATCCCTTAAGTTACAGGTTAATGTATCGGAACGGAAGACAAAGTGCGAACTAAGATAGTCCNCAGTTGCTGGCTTCTCTGCATGTTTATCCTGCAGGATTGTAAAGCAACAATAAAGAAATAAACAACCCTAAAAACAAATAATTGAAAGTGAATTTAACATTTAGTAGGTTCTTTTATTAGTTGACCACAGAGATAATCATGAACTCACCTCACTCAGATCAATGAGACCTGAGAACTGACGAAACCGCTGATCAATCAACAACTGGGCTTGGCCAATAGTCGTCCTTATCTGACCAGTCACTTAAAAAATAAAGATGAAAAGAATAGCAGCTTTTTTTTTCAAGAGGGCGTGGTCGGGGTCTAGATTTTCCTATCTCTGCCCATGGTCACAGTAATGTACATGATGTGTGTGTGTGAAAAAGGTCTGCTCAATAATTATGAGTTAAAGTGATTCAAAAGAGAAGAAAAAATAAATAAGCTATCTACCAGCTTAGGCTTGGTCTGTATGGAGAAAACTGTAGACCTGTACCATACAGACCTCCCAGCTAGCAAATAACATATGTGTATATATCTTGTCAGAGCAAATTCATAAGGTGTCAGGCAACAAAATTCCAATTCAAACCAGTACATACCTTCTTCACTGAGACCTTGTTCTTCGGTGTTGATTTTCTCCCATTTTGCGCAGATCTCATTCAACCTGTCAGTCTCCCTTGTCACAAGATTCCTAAAATATTTTGCATCATGCTGCTCTTCCTCAACATCCTGAGTCTCAAGAACATTGCCACCGTCCATTCCTGTGACAACTTCACCAATGGTTTCATGGGATTTTTGAGTGCTTGGGGTTTCTCTGTCAGTTGAGGGAGGAGTGGTGATCGTTGCCACAGCTTCATTATCACCTTGCTGTTTTTCAGAGTCATCGCATGTTTCCATGGTAGCACTGCAAGTCCCTGTCATATCATCAATCATTTCAACATGAACTTGCTCTTGTTGATTGTTTTCTTGTATTTTTAGTTCATTACATGTATTTAAATGACAAGCTGTTACAGGATCCTCCAAAACAGCATTCTCAACCTGGTCAGTTGGTTTGTCTCTCTTAGGGCTAAAAAATGAAGCTGCTGATGTCGGAAACATAAATTCTGCTGCACTCTTAGGACTGAGGGGCTGAAACTTGAATGCTTTTGCAAAATAAGTGAATGTGTTGACACCACTTGGCGCAGTGAACTGAAAGTCTTCAGGAGCAAAAGATTGAGCCTCCGTTCTTGATGCTGTACTTGGCTGAGAACCTCTTTTCACTCCTTCTGTGCTCCCTCTTCCAAGTGACACAGTATTCTCTATATTCTCCAGTGGTGGGAAGCTCAATTTTTCAGGAGCAGGTTTTATTTCTTCAGTTGACGATATTTGGCCACTTTGCTTGTCAAGTTTCAAAGGGGGATGGCATTCACTTGAAGCTTGATCTTTAACCTTCTGGGCTTGAGATCTTGTCTTGACTTTGTTGTCAAGTTCAGCTGCCATTGCTAAATCATAAAAGACAGCCGTTTTAGAAGAAGCAGAAAGAGAAACAGTATGCCAACACTAATAGAGGAACTTTTGTTGCATACCTTTCTTACTGGACCGAGAAGCTGTAACACCTTTGGCGGACAAAGATGTCTTTGTCTGTACACTTTGTCTTGTGACTCTGCCAGTCTTTTCTGGTTGGACTTCAGTCTATGATGATAACAAATTGTTCCTCATTTAAGATATTATGTAACCTTATGATATGGGAGATTTTCTTGCATCATAATTGCTTTACCGTTATTAAGTTTGTAATCTAGCAGCTAATTCGTCCAGTTCTGACACTCTCTCTGTCAGTCAACATTATTCAACAATATTGTCCAAACACAAAAATGTTTGGTCACCAAAAATGTTTGATCATGTTTGATGTGTCTTTTGAACATGGATTTTGGATTCTTGTGAACAGATGCTTCTCTCTGGTCTGGTCAGTTCACTTTTTACAGGTTTTATGGCACAATTGTATTTCACCATCTTTATTGTGGTAGACAAAATCTAGGGATTTTTTCTTAATTAAAATGCAACACAAAATTTCATAGCTAACCTTCTTTTCCTTTAGTTTATCATTCTTTTCCTTTAGTTTATCACTACATGCTGGTTTAGGTTTGGACTCCACCTTTTTCACCCCTCTGGTTTTAAAGTCAGTTGCCAGGTTTGCACTTTGCTTAGCAATCCTGACCGAAGCCCTTGTCACTCTTTTGGCTGGTTTGCTTGCTTCATACTGACTGGGCTTTATCAGTGGGGTAACCCCTTTGGTTGCTTTCTTCATAGCATTGGCAAACAAGAGAGCTTCTTGCTCATACTTGACGTGCCGTACCACAAAAGACTTCTTCTGCGGTTCAGTTCCTTTCTTTTGTTTTCGCTCCTCACGCCACTTCAGCAATTTTTCCCTTCTACTCAGTTCTGGATTCGTAGCTTTATCTTGTTTAACATCTAGATACACAAGAATAGTTTTATTGGTGTGTTGGCATTAGTTTGCCAATCTGAATGTACTAAAGTATTGATAGTGTATTGGCCAACTCATCAGTAAATGAGTCCTAATGCTTTAAGGGTGGAAAACAGTATCCACCAAGGCCCAATTGTTAAACATAGTATAAATTGGCAAGGGCAACTTTTTTAACCACTAGATCAACTGCAACCTTGTTCCAAGGCCTATACTCCCTGAAGTATCTATTTTTGTCTCTCTTCCCTCTTTTACTTTCACTGTCTTGCAGTGATGGGCATCTCCTGTTGCAGGACACCCCCCTCCCCCTTATGTAAGATGTAGATTGGGAAAAAGAGAAACTCTCAATGTGAGGTCTCTCTTCTTCTCACTCCAGCAGGGGTGGGAAGAAGAGAAACCCTGGGAACAATGCTGTGGTTGATTGAAGTACATGATTGACCTTTCTCATGTGGATGATACTGTCCAAAAGCGAGGTTGTGATCAACTTCAGCCAAGGAAGCATTCTCCAGTGGGTAAATGTTAACAAATGAAACTATGCTATCCAGCTGACAGTTATTTATCTGGCAAACGACTTGATTAATAGAACAACCATGGCTAGACAAATTTTTATTAATTTGCATTCTTTACTTACACTACGCTTTAAAAGGCTACAAAATATTACAATGTGCAGTTACAAAAAATATCCATACTCCTTCCCCCCTCCCCCCAGAAGGGATTGGAGGTCATCGGAATTTCCTGGGCGGCTGGGGGTTCTCTAAGAACAAATCATTTGAAGAAAAAATCCCGTCCATGGGGGAGGTGTGGGTATTTTCTGGAACCACACAATTTAGAGCAGGGGCAAAGTACATGTAGGGAAGAAAGCGGCCTTTTCTATTGAGGGTTATTTCCGAATTGAAGGGGGCATTTTGTCAGCACTTTGATTCTTTCTTTACGGGAGAGAAGGTACCATAAGATGGGAGGTGTGGATCCTGCACAAGAGTTTATCAGTTATCACATTCTTTTCTTCTAAACATCATGTTTTATACATTTACAGGCAACTTGCCGACTGTAACAACACATGCACATTGTATGTGAGAACAGGTAAGCGTTACTCTGAGGTTGAAGCAAATAGGTTCTTATATCAGCTTGCATCAGGCAGCCTTACCTGAAGTTTCTACAACCCATGCCAACGGTTACCACGAACTTCAGCTACGAATACAAGCAGTCTAGCTCTTAAACAGAACTTAGAGTTCTTTGACGGGTTATTTCATCTTTTTAAGACAAAATTTCATTCATTCAATTCATTACATGTAATTATTCAAGCATGTTTAGACAGCTTCAGCAAGGCATTAGATTGCCGTACGGCCGCTTGAAAGAATTGTTCAGCTGCCGGACAATCAAATGCTGCTGGCATTTTTGCATAAGCATGTTTACCGTTTTTGCCCACTGTTACAGCCTCGTCGTCCACGTTTTCATCAGCCAGTGGGGATAGAGGCATCCTTCTTCGTTTCGAAACTTCATCCATCCTGGAGAGCTGACGATTTTCGCTAGCACGCTGAGCTCGAACATTCCGACTTGACGCTCCCGATTTTCCACGAGACTTGTATAAGGAAGACAAAAAGTCGTAGCTGGATTTCTTCGTCGCAATATTTTCCATGTTTTACAAATATGACCACTGCTAGATGACTTTTAACGCTAATAAAAGATGATTTCTGCGGCAAACTAGTGAAACAACGATTTAAAAGTACGAAAATTGATAGATAAGTCAAGCTCTGCGAACCAAACTGAACTTCGAATTTCGTTCCAACGTTTTCCTTCTCGTTTGTTGGTCAATTTTAAATGCGTCAACCAATCACATCCATGTATTTATAAAACGTGATAAATATTCTGAGTTCGAAAGCGAGGCTTTGCGAAAGCGAGGCTCCCCGTACAGAAGACTTCATGTTCGTGAAAGAGAGCTTCAAGGGTTCGAGCTGTACCGCTACAATGGTAGCTGCTCGAATTAAGTTGTCTCCCATCGGAATTGTTATTATAGGGCTTGTCGTTGTCGCGATAATCTACTACTTGTCAACCGATGGTGGAAGAGGGGAGTTTTCTCACAAGTATTTTGAGGGCGAAGATACCGTTTCAATGAAGCGACTCATTATGACAGCAATTCACCTTGCCGAGAAGGGAGGCGATGTTGTCCGAAAAATCCGTCGGGGAGAAGATTTGGGGGTAAGTCTTTTGTCCAACTAAAACCTTCTTACACTCCTGGAGATTTTTTCCTTTTACGCTATACGCAAGGAGAGTTATTAGAACCTCTTTGCTTACTTAGCTTTGTTGTGTTTATCAATAGGTTGATAAGCAGCTTACCACAAAAATTGTGACCGATCGCCCGGATGTGTGTTTTCAGACCTTGCAAGCTTTTTTTGTGGGTGTGCACATTTAAAATTTAGAGTAGAAAACCGTTTCGGCATAAGTAGCAAATATCTCATTGTTTGGAAGAGTGGAGAGAAAATTATGCAATTTTGTGTCGTGGCAATAATAATAGACAACGTAATCTGTATGCTTTGCATTTTGACAACCGGCAACGTGGAGCAACTATTAGTTAATTTACACATGTTAAACTCTTGACGTGTACATTATCCGAACAGAGTTAGTCGTGAATACAGACACACAAACGATTTAATTTTGATGTTGTGTTACCTACTTGTAGACAATAATTTAAGGTAGTATACTGTAACTAACGTGTGCACCAGTACGTCGAACACAGAACAAGCTTGCTAAGCTTTTAAATTCAAGTGAGATGCATGAAGTTTATATTTTGAAGTAACAGGGTATTTATGTTCAAAATTGTACAGAGGTTTTATCAGTTTTATTATTATTATTATTATTATTATTATTATTATTATTATTATTATTATTATTATTATTATTTAACCTCTCAAAACTAAGAGTTGGGCACTTTTGAATTTTTCAACAACTTGACCTTTGAAAACAAGCAACTTTGCATACTGAAAAACAAATTTTGATACAAATTATGATATTTTTGTCCTGTTGAACCAAGTTAATCCCTCTGATGCTTGTGTGATGTCCAACAAGGGAAGATACTAAACTTCAAAATGCAAATAAGAAAAAAACAGTTCAATATTACGCTGCTGCCAAGTACTGTAATGATCCAAATACACTGTAGTCTGTGCTCTCAAAATAATAATTTAAAAGCACACCCCTCATGTAATTTTCAAGGTGCATTGCACTAAGCACACCTACCCAATGAGCACCTCTATTCCAATAATCTCCAAACCAGTGTTCTGAGATTTTGAATAGTTTAGATTTAATTGTATCTATAATTGTAGTAAATGAGATAAAACTGGTTTCATAGTTTGCGTTTGAGCAATGTCAGGATTAAGAAAAATAAAATGAGTGTTCAATCGTGACTGAAGCTCTACCTCCATGGACTCGCCAAAATGTTATAAGTGTCCAGAAGCTAATTAAACCATTTTTTTACAGCATATATTTGATGTTATGGCATGACTGGCCAGAATATATCTGTTGTGGTTCAATTTTACTTTTGGTACAATTTACTTTTGTCCTTTGTTTAGGTGTTTGGGAATAATAGAGTAAATTTCATAATGCATATGAAATAAAGGAAAATACCAAATTTTATACCATGCCATAGAAAACACAGCCAATCCGAATACAGGAAAGCCATTGCATATTTGACAGTATCTCATCCAACCTTCCCATTGTGTGCCATGGATATGTCACATTTATTGTGCTGGCTGCTGTATTGTCTATGGCATGGCCAATACAAAATAGTTATGCAATTGCTCTCTAGTGGTATACCATAGAATATCCCTCTTATCACTTGTATTTTCTTAGTTTTCACACTTGTCTAAAGGCTTGTGTATATACCAAGAAAATACAAGTAACTTATGGGATAGAGTGGTTTTTAGTGGAATTGTACATGCCACAACTTCATATTAGTTCCTACAATCCCCCTATAGTTAGTCATTCTTTTGTTTTCTAGTCTTTGTTTTTGTACACCACCCACTAATACTAATCAGCAGACAATATTACACACTAACAAGTAGTTTCTGTTTCATGGGTTCAGTAAAATCACCCTATACCATGGTATACCACTCAAAAGCATTGCATAACTAGCAAGTACCAAGGGTAATACTGAACTGCGGTGTATCCAAATTTATCCAAAGGTTGAATCATTTGGTTCCACTTTGTTTCGTTTTTGCTTTTAAAGCTTAGTTCTTTCCTCCATTATTATTCTGGTCTTCATGATTTCATTTTTGACACACAGGAAGAAAGCAAGGGGCAGACACTTGAAGGAGCCAATAACCCTGTAACACAAGGAGACATGCTCTCTCACAGGGCAATGTTTTATGGCTTCAAAAAAGAATTCCCCAAGTTAAATGTAGTGTCTGAAGAACATGACCATGGAGATGTTGATTTGAGTGGTGTGAAGTCTCCCGATATCTCAGGGATAAATCTCAACGACAGACTCCACAACAAAGACGATGAGATGGTGTCAGCAGGGAACCTTCTTGTGTGGATAGACCCTCTAGATGCCACACAAGAATACACAGAAAACCTTGTCCAGTATGTCACTACCATGATTTGTATTGCTGTCAAGGGACGCCCTGTCGCTGGGATAATACACAAACCATTTCTTCATAAGACATACTGGGCTTGGCTAGGTCATGGATCATCAGATAACATAAAAGTTCCTGCAGAGAAAGAGTCAGCATTGAAGACACCAAGGGTGATAGTTTCAAGATCTCAAGCAGGGAAAGTGAATGCAACAGTTAGATCAGCATTTGGTTCTGAATCTAAGGTGATACCAGCTGGTGGTGCCGGTTATAAGGTGTTGTCATTATTTGAAGACACGGCTGATTCTTATGTTCATGTGACTCTAATCAAGAAATGGGACATCTGCGCAGGGGATGCTCTCTTGAGAACATTTGGAGGAAAGATGACCACATTAGATAATGAAGCAATTGAATATGATGATGGATCTAAACCAGCAAATGAAAAAGGACTTTTAGCATCATTACACAATCATGCAGAATTTCAGGAAAAGCTTGCACAGAAGTTGAAGTCTTAAGAATGTAAAATACATCTGACTGATATAATTTATTAAGGCAATAATTTGAATCACATGTGCTTTCAAAATTTGTGCATGTTGAAATTGTTTGTTTAAAGATGAATCTTAGTATATTTATAACTAACAATTCAAGTGTTATGTATTTTGCCATGTCTTCTTTCTTACAGCAATGGAAACAAAGGACACAAGTTACATAATTTGTACAATTTTGGATGTAAATGGTACATTTATATTTTCTTTTAGCCTGTCATAGGATGTACACTAACAGGCAAAGTAGTCTTGCTAGGTAGGGAAGTCATTTTTGAGTACAAAAAGGTATTTAAATACTTATGCTGTACATTTTCATGTTCATGTACAAGTTTACATGTTTTGAAATGTGCATGGGCAAGGCATTTTACTCACTGACTAACACTGCCTCTTTAGGACCTGTTATGGCAAACTGAAAATCATTGATGGACTAGAGCATCAAAGGGGGAGTAACACTTTGCCTAGTCGTGTCATAGAAACTTAGTAGGATATTTCTGGTAATGTGGAGCAGAATTTTATAGCCTGTGCAAGCCCTGCAAAAAAGAGAGTTTACACAGTAATGTTAACTTAATTAATAATTATTCTGACTATCAAATCCCAGATTACGGTCAAAAATTTATGCTAACCTGATGCTGACTCGGGTTAGCCCCAAGGCACCCTCATGAACTCTCTTGACATCGGGACGCAAAGAAAACCAAGTTTTGGGCACACTGCAACTGTGAAGTACTAGCCCCCCAAAATTTCATGTGCTAGTACTTGAAACTATAATTTGAATTTCGTAAAAAAATTTCTCAAGAAACTTCACTTGCCCATCTGGCAACTGAAGGACAGAATCAACCAGCACGGCGGCAAAATCTACTAGTCTGGGCTATCAGAGACAACTTTCTTGGCATGCTGTGGCATGGCATGTGTGAGTTGAAGGCATTTGTCTGTTTTCTTTTCAAAATTTTAAGAGGTGGAAAACATTTTGTGTGTGCCTTGAGTTATAGAAACATGGGTGGTTGTTTGGAAAAGCCAGAATTGCAATGGAAACACAAGCTACAGACGAGATTCCTGAGCTGCATTATTTATATCTTTTGCAAAACAACCAGTTGTAACCTCTATTGCATACTGAATTGTAGCTTGAAAGGTTGGGGATCTTGCCAAAAACAATATTTTCTTTTTTCTATTCTTAATGTGGAAAGATCTTAGCAAACTAAGGGGACTTCAATTTTGCCATCCTACACTGTAGACTCCTCTTGACAAGCCCTTTGAAACTCTGTTACAATATATGGGTGCCAACGTTGATCAAAGCACCATAATGTGTTTATGTGCAAATGTTTATAGCTTAAATTTTGTACTCAATACCTGAATGTAACTTTGCATTCGAGTTTGCTCAATGGGTTTTAGAATTTGGTCTTTTTTATATCATGGGGGGTTGAAATGCCATTTTTATCAAGTAATTTTTTTTTCCTGGTAGTTGTATTTAAATTACAGTTTGTATGTAGACTATATAGACATGTTCTCAACTCTCACATATTGCCAAGTTGGGATGTTAAATACTACTTTCTTTAATATCATATGGATGTGAACAGTAGTGGACAACCATTCCCTCTTTCAAATTTATTGAACTTATTTAAATGTTTTAAAATAATTTATATACTTGAATATGTCCCTGTAATGAGAGATAAACTTTAGTGGCTTTCTCAAGAATATTTAATGCAAACATTACACATATTATTCATGCACATTTGTCAACTTAATTTCTAGCAGTTCTAGGTAAAGGCTCAATTTCCCATGCTCTCACGAGTCTGGTTATTCTCTCCAACAGGGGTTTCATTGATGGCTGGGCACCTGGCAAATTGACCGGCTGTGAGGACAATTTTGCCTGCCTGGTTTGACCATCTAATGAAAAGTTTTTCTTATAAATATTAGAAGAAGTTCAGTTCAAAGAATTTTGCCCACCAGTGAAA